AGTCAGTTGCATTTCTCTGCTTGCAGCGAACAATCTGAAAATGAAGTTCAGAAAACAGTTCCATTGACAAGCACTTAAAAGAATAAAATAGCTGAAAAAAATTTCAAAAAAGAACTGCAAAACTTATACTTTGAAAACTACAAGACATTCTGAACAAAATTAAAGACCTAAATAAGAGGGAAAACATCCATGTCCATGGATAGGAAGATTTACTTAGCATTGCTAAGATGGCAATAAGCTCCAGATTTATCTAGAGTCAACCCAATATCCATAAAAATTCCAGCTGATTTCTTTTTAGAAGTTGACAAGATGATTCTAAAGTTCATAGCGAATTGCAAGTAACCCAGAATAGCCAAAAAAAGTACAAAGTAGGGAGATTCACACTTCCTAATTTCAAAACTTACCAGAGTGCAATGGCAGTCAAGACAGCACAGTCCTGCCACAAGGATGGAAATACAGATGAATGGAATATGATTTAGAGTCCAGAAATAAATCCATACATCTATGGTCAACTGATTTTGACAAGGTTTCCAAGGCCATTCAGTAGTAAAGAATCATCTTTTCAACACATAAATCCTCAGAAAACTGGATAGTCACTTGCAAAGGAATGATTGGACCCTACCTCACACCATATAAAAAAATTAATTCAAAAGGGATCAGAGACCTAAATGTAAGAGCTAAAACTATGAAAAGTTTAGAAGAAAACTTAGGGGTAAAACTTCATGACCTTCCCCTCAAGAAATTAAAATTTAAATTACCATATGATCCAGGAATTCTACTTCTGTGTATATAACAAAAGAATTTAAGTCAGGACTCACACAAATATTTGCACACTCATGTTCACAGGAGCATAATTTACAATAGTCAAGAGTTGTAAACAACCCAAGTGTCCATCCAGGGATGAATGGATAAGTGAAATGTCTTATATACATACAATGGAATGTTATTCAGCTTTAAAAAGGAGTGATATTCTCACACATGCTACAACATGGATGAAACCTGGAAACATTGTGCTCAGTGAGCTAAGTCAGTCACAAGAGGACAGTACTGTATGATTCTACTCATATGAGGGACACAGAGGAGTCCAGTTCACAGACACGGAAAGTAGAATGGTGGCTACCAGGGGCTGAGGGGAGAAAGAGATGGGGAGTTACTGTTTAATGGATATAGAGTTTCAGTTTTGCCAGATGTAAAGACTTTTGGAGATCGGCTGCACAACAATGTGAATGCACTTACTACTGAACTGTCCACTTAAAATGGTAAATTTTAGACTATGCATATTTTACAATTAAAAAGTAAAATAAATTTTGTGACCTTGGGTTTGATAAAGCATTCTTAGATACGACACCACAAGCATGAGCAAAAAAAGATAAAATAGATAAATTGGACTTCATGAAAATCTAAAACTTTTGTGTTTTAAAAGACACCATTTAGGGACCGGCCCTGTGACCGAATGGTTAAGTTCGCGCGCTCCGCTGCAGGCGGCCCAGTGTTTCGTCGGTTCAAATCCTGGGCACGGACATGGTATGGTTCGTCAAGCCACATTGAGGTGGCATCCCACATGCCACAACTAGAAGGACCCACAACTAAGAATATACAACTATGTACCAGGGGGCTTTGGGGCGAAAAAGGAAAAAAATAAAATCTTTAAAAAAAAAAAAGACACCATCGAGAAAGTGGGAAGACAGCCCACAGGATGGGTGAAAATATTTGCAAATCACAAATCTGATAAGCAAGTGATATCTGGAATATATAAAGAACACTTACAACTCAATAGCAAAAGGACAAATAACCCAGTTAAAAATGGGAAAAGGACCTGAATAGACATTTCTCCAAAGAAGATATACAGATGACCAACAAGGCATGCAAAGATGCTCCATATCATTAGTCATGAGAGAAACGCAAATCAAAACCACAGTGACATACTACCTCCCATCTATTATGATGGCACGATAAAAAGTCAGATAATAACAAGTGTTGTCGTGGATGTGCAGGAAACAGAGCCCTTGTACACTACTGGTGTGAAGAAAAATGGTGCAGCTGCTATGGAAACCATATGGCAGTTCTGCAAATAATGAAACATAGTTACCCTATGCCCCAGAAATCCACTACTAGGTAGTGAATGAATGAAAAAAATGTGTCTACAAAAGACTTGTACAGAAATGTTTATCGCAACATTATTAATAGTAGCCAAATGGCGAGAACAACTTAAATATGCATCAAGTTATGACTGGATAAAAGAATGTGATATATCCATATAAAGAAATATTATTTGGCCATAAAAAGAAAAATATTAATAGATGCTAAAACAAGGGTGAACCTTAAAAACCTTATGTCTAATGAAAGAAGCCAGTCACAAAGGACCACATACTACATGATTCCATACATATGAAAGTCCAGAAGAGGGAGATTGAGACAGACACAGAGATGCGTGGGCTCTAGGGGCTGGAGGTGCAAGGAAACTGAAAGTGATTGCATAATGAGGATGGGATTTATTGTTTGAGGTGCAAAAATGTTCTGTAAAGATTGCAGAAGAGCAAGAGTGCATAAAAAGACACTAAATGATACACTGTAAAGCGGATAAAACAGCAAATTTTATGTTATTCAATTTTTGCATGAATAAAAAGTAAATAATTTAAAATATGAATTAAATTCTATGAAAGAAGGTGATGATTACTCGAAACACATCACTTTTGTTCTTAAAATAATCAAGCCAAAGAGACACATTTTGGAGTAGCAAATTCTGATCCCCAGCACATGTTGCTTTCAGGAGAAAATCCAGGTCCCGTGGCCTGGCAAATGGCCTGTAGCAGAGGAGTTCAACTTCCAGGAATTTTGTGAGTGGATTCTGAACGCAGCCGTGATTAAAATCAAGTCCTGGAAACTATCAATCACTGACATTACATGAGACAAAAGTCGTCATTACCCAAACACATCACTTGGCAACTCTTTCACCACATTTTCCTGTTCCTCTGCATTGCGGTTGCTTATGTCTCCTTTACCAGCCACGTGGTGAAGAGCTGCACCAGGGTGGGCCGCTGCCCATCGGTTCGCACTCCAGGAAATGGCCCACCGTGGGAGTATTGTCCCACAGACACTGGTAAGTGTGGCCCTCAGGACACTGAACAGGGAGCAGCCCTCCAGGCCTGCAGGCATCTGTCCCTGCACCTCACTGACTTCCCCCCATGCCTGACATAACCAAACTCAGTGGGTTCATCTCTTGGTGAGTGTGGAGCCGAATAGCACAACCAAGTCAGAAGTGCGTGAAGGAAGGTTTATTCCTTCACAAACAATGGAGAGCACAAGGGACAGCTCCCAGCGCAGTCCCCGCCCCTCCCTGCCCAGGGCTTTGGGGGTCCTAGGATTGTTAGATGAGGGACAGTTCATGAATATTCAGTTAAGGAAAAGGCAGGAGATTGGGGTTTATCTCCTAACAGCCGTGTTCTGTCAAGGCCAGTGCGTAGCACACACACGTGCCACTGCATGCTCACATGATAGAAGTGGCTGCTCTACGCCTCCCAGAGGAGGAGAATTTAAGATGTTAATGAGACCATAATGGGAGCACTTCACTTAAGTTTATCTTAGAGCTGTTTGAGGTGGCTTCAGTTAGCTTGTTTCTGGGAACCTTCTGCAATCAGGCTTTTCCTGAAACTTTTTGTCTGGAAAACACTCAGCAGATAATGCTAGTTTTTGTCAGATCCTTGGTACCCCTTTCTTTCCTGGCTCCTTGGTTACACAGGCTCCAGGGGCAGGTTCTGTCCCGGCAACGCCCCCTGACTGCCACGCATGCACCGCTGGCTCAGGCAGAAGAACAGCCCTCTGGGTCAGTGTGGGTGCAGCAGGAACACAGAACCACACTACGTATTTCCACAGGGAGGATCAGACCTAGGAACAGGTGACAGGGAGCACCTGTTTCGGGGAAGCCCAGGGGTGGTGAAGGCAGGAAGCAGCTGACACCCTTGAGGGGAACCCAGGGAAGGGGCTGAAATGATCAGACCCTGGAAACCTGGAGCAGGCCCAGGGCCTAAGGCCCAGACCTCTGGGTGGTGTGAGAGCCGCAGGGGCACCTGGAGGCTGGTCTGGGAGCCTTGACACAACTGGGCCTCCAGGCAAAGGCGACAGCTCCTAAAGGGACAGTGCAGGCCTGGCCATGGGCCTCCCACACCCTCGTCCTCTCAGGTAAGGACTGCAGACAACAAGGAGAACAGACGGATCCTTCAGTCTTAAAGAGCCGTGTCCTGGCTGCTAAGCTGACCTGACTCTCTCCCTGGGAAGGGGGCACAGGCCCGCCAGCAGAGGAGCCATCCTGACAACACTGGAGCTTCACCCTGTAACCACCCCAATGACACCTACGGGAAATGATAGGGACCAGAGGGAGGAGGGGGGTGGGGCTGCACAAGTATGCTGGCCCCGTGCTCCAAAGCTGCTGCCAAATGCCCTGGAGTCATCCTGTCTCCCACCACAGCCGCCTCCTCACATCACAGAGCGCCCAGTGTTCCTGTTCCTGGGGGACCCTGGGGAGAGGGCCTGGAAGGCTCCTTGGGGGCAGGCAACACAGGCTGCTGGGTCCTGACCTGCAGCCAGGAAACACCCAGACCCCACCTGCTGCCTGGACTCAGAGCCAGGAAAGAACAACAGACTTGGGAAAGAGGAGACCTGTCACAGCCCAGGTGTGGGCTCCGGGGGTGAGGGGACATCCTGTGTCCTAGGGCCTGGTGGGGGCCCTGCCTGGGGACAGTGAAGTTCTGCAGCAGCCTTGGGGCTAGGCTGGGGGAAAGGGTGGGTGACTCCCAGGCTGGGGAAATGTCCCCAGGGCCTATGCACACCCCCAAAGAAGGAGGTGGGTCAGCAGAGACAGGGCCTGACTTGAGTTCCTGGGACAGGAAGTCCCCCCTTAGACCACAGCCCTTCCTCTCACCCTGCCCTAGAGAAACTTGACACTCAGACATTTGTTCCGCCTTCCTGGTGCTCAGCCAATTCACCAATTTACAAACACCAGGAAATAGAAACTTCTGAGAAACCAAAACTACACCAGAGAGGGAGGGCACCCTGAGCAACAGACCCACAGCTGCTCAGGTCTCTGCATCAGGAGCCGCACTTCCCAGCCCTTCCTCATTTGAGACAACACCTGCTCCCCCAAAGGTGGAGATGATCAAGGAGGAGCATGAGGTGTCCGTGCTGGGGGCACCCCAGAGCTCAGCTCCCATGACGACCACCGTGATCAACATCCACAGTGACACCTCCGTGCCCGACCACATCGTCTGGTCCCTGTTCAACACGCTCTTCATGAACTGGTGCTGCCTGGGCTTCGTGGCCTTCGCCTACTCCGTGAAGGTGGGTGGGTGCATGGGGGCATCTCCAGAAAGTGTGTGTCAACTGGCTAGGTCCCCCACCCAGATGGCACTTGGGGTGTGGGAAGGTCTGTGTGTGTGTGTGTGTGGCTTGAGGGGTCTTGCAGTGAGAGAACGCAGCGAGGTTGCATGGGGATGGCTAGGGAAGACTGTGTCTCCATAATCCCCAAAGTCTCCTCCCATACTAGTCAGACTAATTACATACTTCACACTTGAATTCAGACCTCAAGTCTGGTCCAGAAAAAGGAAAAGGTACTCAAAGGACTCTGACCCTGATGGAGCTAGTGCCCAGCGAAGAGACCAGAGCAGAGGGAGGAGGAGCCTGAGGCCTCCTGGAGAGGCTGAGTCTGTGAGGAAGGAGATGGAGGCCCAGCTGGGAGGGCCCACGGGGCACTGTGCTGCTCAGGCTCCAGGGGACGGGACGGGGTGGCCCCATCTGGGTGAAGGGCAGGTGCAGGCTGCTCTGGGCAGGGACCAGGCAGGGAAGGACCTGAGTCGCCTCACCTGGCTCTCCCAGACCCCCTCCAGGTCCCTCTCACTGTGTCTTCTCCCCCAGTCTAGGGACCGGAAGATGGTGGGCGACGTGACTGGGGCCCAGAGCTATGCGTCCACTGCCAAGTGCCTGAACATCTGGGCCCTGGTCTTGGGCCTCTTTCTGAGCACTGGATTCATCGTTCTTATGGGATTTACCTGCCTGACACTCTACCAGATAATTGTAAAGGCCATGCAGGACGGCAGAGGCTACTTCTAGCTGCCCATGGGCACAGCCCCGTCCCCATCATGCCCTGCTGGCCTCACATGCTGGGGCTTTGGCCCTGCCCACTTGCCCATACCCTTTTCTACAGCAGTTTTTGCAGACATACCCGTCTACACCTGGATTCAATAAAGTGCACTTGCATGTGACGGTGCAGTGATGTCCCTGGGGGGCCTGTGGAGAGTCCCCAGCTGCCCCTGAGACGGAGCCACCTCCTCCCTGCCCACCTGCTGTGCTTCTCTTGGGGGCGGGGTGTGTCCTCAGGTTTTCTGGGTTTCTGGCCTCCCGCTGTGAGCCACGGCTACACCAGGGTCCTAGGACGGGGGTCCCTCCTTCCCCAAGGTCTGCACCCTGATGCAAGAGCACACTGTGTCCCCACTCCCACTGGCCCTCTCAGCTGGCTGGGAGCAGCGGTGCTGTGTCAATGCGGGCACTCAGACCCTGTGGGAAGTCGTGGGTTTTGTATCTGTGGGTGTGGCTGATGGAGCCGCAGCCCTCCCAGCCCACCCTGGGCGATCCAGCTGCTGCTGCATCCTGCTGCTGCCTCCTCCAGCCCACCAGGCTCCGTCCTGCTCCTCTGCCCTGCTCCTCTGCCGGGAAGGGGTGGGGGCAACCCTTGGCCTGAGGGAGGGACAGAGTGGTCAGCTGTAGGCTGACTTCAGAAGCCAATAATCTGAGCTGGTGACTCAGCCCCCTTGGACCAAAACTCTGAGCAGAAGGACCAATTCCTCCAACCCAGACTGTGCTGGCCCTGCTGGGTGGGGCAGCCGCCCAGTGCCCCTGTGCCCCAGCCATTGGGGACCGTGGGGCATTGGCAGTGTGCCTCTGCCTAGCCCGGGCTGCACATGGGGAGGTGTAGCCGTCCTTAGCCTGCAGAGAGGACTTGCCCCAGGCAGATATTCCTGTCCCTCAGGCCCAGAGGGAGTGGGTGGGGTACACACCCTTCTGGCTGACCCATCATGCCCTGTACAGCATCAAGGGTGTGCTGGGTGGTCACCCTGGAGAGGCTGGAGAAGTACAGGTGGCCACAGGCTGGTGCCAAAGAGGTGAGCCCTTCTCCACAGTGCTTTGCTCTTGGGGGCTCCAGCCTGCCTGGGGTCCGGCAGTGGGGAGAGGTCGGTCCTGTTGGCTCACCCTTGAGTCTGCAGCTCTTCACGCTGGGTTCTCCTTCGGGCCAGCTCCTAGGACGGATAGATGGTCCAAACTCCCACAACGCCTTGTGTTACCCCCTGCAGCGCCCTAACTCCTGGGCCTCACTGGTTGGGGTCCTCTGTAGTGGACGACGGCTCGTACCAGGGTGTCCCCTCTCCCCTGGGCTCCCAAGTGTGGGAGTACAAAGGGGGACCGGCCCGGGGAAGGTGGGTCCTGGGGGAGGGGACGCTGACGGACCTGCCCCTCTGGGTCCAGGAAGGACTCACTCTGAGGGGAGCAGGGCCGCGGCGCCCCCTGCCGACTGACAGCGTGGACACAGGCGGGGTGACCCCAACTGAGGCCCTGGAGGACAGGAAGGGCCCACATTCTCCTGTCAGACGTCAAGAAGGGAGCTCAGCCTCGGGCCTAACCCCATCTGAGCTTCGGTGACTTGGGATGAGGCTCCTGCTGGGGGGTGACCCTGTCGTGCACCCCGCGAACAGCCCCTGATCACGACCTTTGAGAAGTTGCGGGTGGGGCCTGAGGCACCAGGCAGGTGCAACTGCAGGTCAGCTGGAAGGTCCTGGCCGCTGACCGCTGGGCTCGCGAGGGCCGCGCAGCGAGCAGCCTTAGTCCTCGGAGCCACACAGCCAGCTCTGGTTCCGAAGGGGTCCTGTGTCACCTGGGGTTGGGCGGGGCTGAGGGTCGTGGCCATGCTGTGGGCGGGGCGGGGCAGGCCGTGTGGGTGGGGCCGGTGGGTGGGCTGGTCGGACAGGCTCGAGGCCGCAGAGATGAGCCACGTTGCCGGAAGGCTTTTCTAAATCGCACTCGGGAGAGCGTGCTTCTTCTCGCTTTGCCTGGAGTGAGCCTGGAGGAAGACGGCCTGCCGGCCTCCTGAAGATGCCCAGTCCGGGTCTGGTCCTGAGGGGCCGAGGGCGGAGGATGGTCTGGCTGCTCCTGGCCACGGACCCCCCGGGTCCCGGTGGAGAGCGTCCACTTCCGGCCTGCAGTGACCTTGAGTGTGTCCTCTGCTGCAGGGCAGAGTCAAGGCCAGCCTGCGCGTAGGCTGAGGGCCGCCAGTTTTGTGAGAAAGGCAGAGACCGGGAAATGTTGCCAGGAAACGGATGGATATACCGCTTCAAGTGTGTTACACAGGGGAGGACCGCACCCCGCGAAGGGAAGGGTGTGGCTGTTACAGGCCACACTCATGGTGATGCCCACAGGCATCATGCAGCCAAAGAAGACAGGCAGGACAGTGCCTACTGGGGCATCTGATTATGGGATGATCCGGGATAGGCCAGACTGATGCAGGTGACATTCGGCACTTGTCTGTCACTGGACCGGACTGAACGGGGAAACCGTACCAGGAGCCCCTGGGTGGAAACGGTGTGTTCCTTGTCCTGAGAGGATGTGGACGTGCGGGCAACCAGTTTCAAAATTGTACAGATAACAATTGCCCACATCCATGTGCATAAATTTCAGCTACAAAGCTGAAAATAGAATGGGGGGGATCAGTGCAAGTACAGATGCTGAAATAACAGACTGTGCTTGTGATGAGGCTGGGTGACCAGCAGAGATGCTTATCTTATTATTCTTAGTTCATTATGCATAAATTTTTCAGTAACAACAGCAACAAAAAAATAATTTAGCTCCAAAGAAAGTTAAACCCCCCTGCAGGGAGATCTACTGTACCAGAGTCTGGGCTGCTGGGAGGGCTTGGGGTCTCCACGTGGGGGAATCCTGAATCCCCATGACTGGGACCCCTGAGACCACTGAGACCACAGCAGTGCCCCCAACCCGCCTTCCTATTAGAGCGAGCCCTCAGGTTTGCTCGAGGCCACGGGAGGGCCTCTCCCAGGAGCACTCCAGACACTCCCCCAGGGCCTACTCCGTGGCTACTAGACCAAACTAGGGTTGATCCCAACATGGCAGACGTGGGGCTGGACCGAGCCTGCCTGTCTGATACGTTCCCATGGTTGTGTCAGCAATTCCTTCACACCTTTGCGACCCACTATCAAAAATCTCACACTGTCACTGTCTCATCTCTTAGATCACTCACTGGGAGGGCGGTGAGCTTGTTTTGCAGAGAAGGAACTTTTGATAAAATTTGAAACCACAGCCATTTAGAAGGAGCTGCAGACCATGGTGCACAGGTATAGTCAGCCAACATGTCCCACAGACTAGGGACAGGAGGCGGGATCCCCAGGGAGGTGGAGGGCAGGGGGTCCCACAGAAAGCTACAGGACAGGTGACCCTGGTGGAAGCTCATTGCTGCAAGTCAGGATGGAAGGGGCGGAGGATCCACAGCTGGGCTCTGGGTGCATGGGGAGGATGGGGGCTACGGTGTCCCCACTTCCCACTGAACCTGCCCAGCTGGTTGTGGGCAGGGTCTGCCCTGGATCACGCCCAAGTGTAACAGAACTAGAGAAGGGAGCCAAGTTCCAGGTCAGGGCAGGCATTTCTCCTCCTCCAGAAGAGCAGGGACCTCCGAGGCTTTCTCTCCAAAGGGGAAGTGTGGACTGAGTCAGGTCCCCTTGCAGCCTTCCCACCAGTGGGGGCCTTGGGGGCCAAAGGTGTTCTGGACCCAGACTACCTTTCCCCAAACGAACCATCTTGGGTCAGGGCTCAGACCTCTGGGAAGGAGGGACCCCCTCTCAAAACCCTCATCCTTTTGTGCCCCCAGCTGAAGGCCAGATACAGGCAAGCCCTGAGGACATGCCCTGCCCCCTCAGAGTAGCAAGTAGGAGGGACCGATGGGAGGGGTTCCGTCTCAGGGGCTGGCGGAGGACTCTCACCCTCTCCCAGGTGAAAAACAGCAACTCCTCAAACCAGCGTTTTATTGAATTCAAGTGTAGACAGATGTGTGTATAAAGTGCTGTGAAGGCTGGGGTAGCCACAGGCCACGCACGGCTGCTAGTAGTCTCTGGAACTCATTATGATCGCTAAAATGTGTGGAAAAAGATCAGTCAGCCAGAGGCAAGAAATAATGAAGAATGTAATGATCACGAGGAGGCCCATGACCAGGGCAGCGATGTTCAGGCACTTGGCAGTGGACGCATAGCTCTGGGCCCCAGTCACGTCGCCCTCCATCTTCCGGTCCCTAGACTGGGGGAGAAGACACAGTGAGAGGGACCTGGAGGGGGTCTGGGAGAGCCAGGTGCAGCCACTCAGGTCCTTCCCTGCCTGGTCCCTGCCCAGAGCAGCCTGCACCTGCCCTTCACCCAGATGGGGCCACCCCGTCCCGTCCCCTGGAGCCTGAGCAGCACAGTGCCCCGTGGGCCCTCCCAGCTGGGCCTCCATCTCCTTCCTCACAGACTCAGCCTCTCCAGGAGGCCTCAGGCTCCTCCTCCCTCTGCTCTGGCCTCTTCACTGGCTGCTCGCCCCTGCAATGGGGCAGCTTTCCCTGTGAGTCCCTCTGTTCCTTCTGAGAGATCCTCAGAGCCCCATCCTGAGTCTGAGGGATGCAATTTCTGGTTTGGTCAGTAGGGGAATTCCCTGGAGTCCTGGGGACAAAGTCAGACCCTGGCCATGGCCGTGCGCCTCATGCAGCCCCATTGTGATCTATGATGAGGATTTTTAGGCTGCTTAATTTTAAAATGGTTTATGATGAGGATTTTTAGGCGGGTTACTTTTAAAACTGCAGATGAGAAGCAGGCTGCGAGGACTGGAATTTTGCTTGCCCTTTTGAGAGACATTTGCATTTGTGAAGGAAGCGGGGGATGAGCTTGTAGGGACCTGAAATTGGCCACCCCAAGGTGTGACTTTTTGGCATCGGGATTGTTTTGGGCTGATTGCTTTTGATAAACTGGGACAGGGAAGGAGGCTCTGGGGAATGGAACTTGCCCTTGTTGGGACACACTTACATTTGTAAGGTAAATCTCTATCTGTAAAAGGTGCCTCCCTCTCTGTACCAGGAAGAAGAGGAGAGATGACCTTGTCGCTAGAAACTCTTAATGGGGAAGGCAAGAACTTAAGTTGGTTGCTGTCTGGCAATCTCATGTAACTGGTTTAGGATGGTGGCGTCTACCCTTTCTAACCTTTACTTAATCCGATTTGATTCTTGTCTAAAAGTCATGGGATCACCCAATGACCAGACCCCACCTGCACTGATACCATTTTAACTTTTTTACATATTCTTTGTCTTGTAAAGAGATGACTCACATACCTATGCCTTAAATTTAGCCTTACTCTCCACCCAACTTTGCAGCAGCAGCAGAGGCAGCAGAAGCGGCAGCAGCAACATGCCGGCAGCAGCTCTGCCTGCCCATGGGTCCTCTCCCCATGCCAGCGGCGGCAGCAGCAGCTCCCCATGCCAGCAGCATCTCTGACTGCCTGTGGGTCCTGTCCCCATGTTATTCTACTCTCTAAATAAAAGAGCACTACTGCCAGATCTTAAGAGTCTAAGAAATATTTCTTTCGACTCCTCGGCTCACCGACCCCGCATCATCTACACACACAGAGACATACACACACAAGGCCTCCCCACAACCCAGGTGCCATCTGGGTGGGGACCTAGCAGGCTGACACACACTTTCTGGGGAATCCCCCACGCACCCACCCACCTTCACGGAGTAGGCGAAGGCCACGAAGCCCAGGCAGCAGCACCAGTATGTGAAAAGCGTGTTGAACAGGGACCAGACGATGTGGTCGGGCACGGAGGTGTCACTGTGGATGTTGATCACGGTGGTCGTCACGGGAGCTGAGCTCCGGAGTGCCCCCAGCACGGACACCTCATGCTCCTCCTTGAGCATCTCATAGGTCGGGGGGACACCAGTGTGGGCGCCACTGACAAAGGTCTGGAAACTGCGGTTCATGGTGCCGGGATGGGGCGAGCTGTGGTCCGGAAGGCTGGATGGTGCTCAGTGGGCCCTGTCTTTCCCCAGTAGTTTCGGTTTCTCTGAAGTTTCCTTTTCCTGGCTTTGGGGAAATCGGGAATTGGCTGGGTACCAGGAGGACAGAACAAATGACTTGAGTGTCAAATTACACTAGGGCAGGGTTGGAGGAAGGGCTGTGGTCTAAGAGGGGCTTCCTGTCCCAGGCGATCAGGTCTGGTCCTGTCCCTACTGACCCGCCTCCTTCAGGGGTGTAGATGAGCCCTGGGGACTGGGAGCCATCTACCCTTTCCCGCAGCCCAGCCCCAAGCCTGCTGCAGAACCTCACTCTCCCCAGCCAGGGCCCCCACAAGGCCCTCATTCAGACTCCACACTCCAGGCCCAGAGGGAGTCCTCCCCCCAGAGCCCACACCTGGGCAGTCCCACGCCTCCTCTCTGAAGTCTGTTGTCCTTTTGTGCCGTCTCCACCTACCGAGGGTAAGGCTATCGGCTAGCAATGCCTGGGGGTACTCACCTGGACCCTGCTGAGCTTTCCACAGACATCTCCCCTCCCTGGACCAGCCCTCATGGTTCTTATGATTGCAAGACGCCCTTCAGCAGTAACCATCAGGAAACATGGGAGAAAAAAGCTTATTACTTACAAGTCCTGGGGCCAGAGAGAGACAGAGAGCAATCGGAGTCAAGGGAGGGGTCTAGAGTTTCCAGGGCTCACTCTCTATTGGTGACTTTAAAACATAAGAGGAGGAATTTAAAGCACAGGAAGAGAGAAACACAAAGAAAACCAAACGAGCAGCCCAAAGGCTGGTTATGTCAAGGGGATCGGGATCGAAAACAAAGGAGACTCATGGGGGGCCTGGGGAGGGGGCGGTCCCCTGGCTCTTTATGAGTGGCTGGCAGTTGTTTATTCCAGATAGACTTCCTTGAGCAGATGCCTCAGCAGTTAAAGGGGAAGTGAGGCACTTGCATCACAAAAGAAGAGCCCGCTCTCGGGCCACAGGACATTGCTCTGGCTCTGAGTCTAGGCAGCAGGTGGGGTCTGGGTGTTTCCTGGCTGCAGGTCAGGACCCAGCAGCCTGTGTTGCCTGCCCCCAAGGAGCCTTCCAGGCCCTCTCCCCAGGGTCCCCCAGGAACAGGAACACTGGGCGCTCCGTGATGTGAGGAGGTGTCTGTGGTGAGAGACAGGATGACTCCAGGGCATTTGGCAGCAGCTTTGGAGCACGGGGCCAGCATATTTGTGCAGCCCCATCCCCCCTCCTCCCTCTGGTCCCCATCATTTTCCATAGGTGTCATTGGGGTGGTTATGATGAGGATCAAGGCTGCCCCAGGGAGAGAAGCCCAAGGTGACCTGCCCTACATGGCAATCTACATCATCCTCCGGGAAGCATAGGATGTCCTGACTTAATCTGATTTGATTCTTATCGGAAGTTATAGGACCACCCAATAACCAGACCCCACCTGCACTGATACCATTTTAATGATTTTTTTCATGATCTTTCCTTTGTCTTGTAAAGAAATAACTCACATACCTATGCCTTATATATTTAGCTCTAACCCCCAACACATTGCAGCTCTTACTGCCCATGGGTCCTGTCCCCATGCTACTCCATGCTATCCTCTGAATAAAAGAGCACTACTGGCAGAAATTGAGAGTCCAAGAAATCTTTCTTTCAACTCCTTGACTCACCGAGCCCACATCAGTTACAGGGTGAAGCTCCAGTGTTGTCAGGATGGCTCCTCAGCTGGTGGCCCTGTGCGCCCTTCCCAGGGAGAGAGTCAGGTCAGCTTAGCAGCCAGGACACGGCTCTTTAAGACTGAAGGATCCGTCTGTTCTCCTTGTTGTCTGCAGTCCTTACCTGAGAGGACGAGGGTGTGGGAGGCCCATGGCCAGGCCTGCACTGTCCCTTTAGGAGCTGTCGCCTTTGCCTGGAGGCCCAGTTGTGTCAAGGCTCCCAGACCAGCCTCCAGGTGCCCCTGCGGCTCTCACACCACCCAGAGGTCTGGGCCTCAGGCCCTGGGCCTGCTCCAGGTTTCCAGGGTCTGATCATTTCAGCCCCTTCCCTGGGTTCCCTTCAAGGGTGTGTTGGGGGTAAGAAGTTGTACCCCAAAATGTATATCTTTGCGTTGATTATTATTATTATTATTTTTGCTGAGGAAGATTTGCCCAGAGCTAACATCTGTGCCAGTCTTCCTCTATTTTGTATGTACGCTGCCACCACAGCGTGGCCACTGACAAGTGGTGTAGGTCTGCACCTGGGAATCGAACCCTGGCCACCAAAGCAGAGCCCACCAAATTTAACCCCTAGGCCACACGGCTGGCCCCAGCCTTGATTATGTTTAAAAACAAAAGACTGAAAGAAACGTTGACTTTCCCCCTAACTGCCTAAAAGAATTTAACCTAGAAAGGCCTGTTCCAGGAAGGAGCTAATGCCATGAGACAACTATGGTAAAATGTAAGATGGGTGTAGAAAGGCACCAGCAAGCCCATTTTATCAAAGTTCTGTCTCTCAGGTCACGTTGTCCATCAACGGCCCAGCAAACACTTATTTAACAAACATTTGCATTTCCATCTCCATGTAAATTGTCTTCATCCCCTCCAACGTCTCAAACCACTGCCCCCAGTTTTAGCTGAAAATGGCATTTAAACTGGTGGCTTTGGCCATTTTGGCCAATTACTCAGTTTTCCTGGGTTTCTCCTATGTATACATATTATTAAGCTTTGTTTGATTTCTCCTGTTGTTCTGTCTCATGTTAATTTCATGTTAATTTAATTCTTAGGCCAGCCAGAAGGACCCAGAGGGCAGAGGCATTGTCTTCCTTCCTTACTGTTTGGCGACTTGGATGGCATAAAACTTCACTGGCTGGACACTGCTCGCTCCCGGATGACTGCAGCCGAGACATGCTGGACTCCTGACAAGAGCTGGGAGAAGACAATAGTTCTTACCACGTCAGTCTCCTGAGTCTCTGCCCACAGGGTCCAGTGGAAGTGAGAGTGGTGGGTTTTTTCCTTGTCTAAATTTAGATTCACAGGAGAAAATATTTGTGAAGCTAGTTTCTCGGACTCAGCAGCTCTGGGAAATTTGGTTTGAGTACTCATTAGTCTACTGATCTTTCTCCCAGAGATGGTCACTATTTTTCCTTGTCTCTGTCTTTTGTGTCATTTGTCATAAAAAGGAAAAGCTGTAGTGCAGGTGCAGACATAGGGCCCTATAAACCTGTTGTCTGGGCCGGCCCTGCAGTAAACTTCACTCTGGGTTAATAGCACAAGGGGTGAAAGCTATTGCTAAGGGGCATCTTGGAAGCCAAACGGCCACAAAGTTGTTGCACATAGGTTGAGTATTTAAGAGCCATTAGGACACTTGACACCTCAAGAAGACTCCTGTGAGAGGATAAGTCATTCATGGAATTAGGTAGGTGAAACAGGTCATCCACCAACCTCAAGGAGATTTCCATGCAACAGGCTACTCTAGAAAACAGCACACATTTCCCAACCCTGGGGAACATCCCTCTTAGGTATTAGTTTGGCTCCAAGGGACCCAAGGCTTAGCTAAAGTTGTTAACGTGCATGTAGGATGAGGTTTCTTTTGTATTATTCTATATTTTGAGAGCTTGGTTTTGTGACCTCTGGTCTCTGTCATCTGGAGGATGCACATACCAGCATGTATTTTGGTGGCCAGTCAAATAGCCTGGGGCTCTGAGCCACACTCTCTTTGTGCAGCTGTGTCAGCTCTCAGAGGAGATTAGGGTCCCAGTCTATAAGGAACCTTTGTCATCTCAACTTTCATTGCTTGTTAGTGCTGGAAAAGTTCAATTCCAGCAGTGCTTGCCCAGTGTACAGATTAGTGGGTTTGTGACTGGAGGCATCCATGTTTCCACGGGAGACCGGAGAGAGCATTTTCACTACACCATTCTTACATAAGAGGTGGTGAAATTAAGAAGATTGGAATATCTAAATTGGCTTTATGTGCAATGATTGCATCTCTTTTGCCTGGTAGTATTAGAGGTTATATTGTAGGGACAGACATTGTGTCTCACCAGGGAATGTTTCCCCTGCCTGATGGTGTAAAACAGAACATATAAATCCACCATTTAGGTAATGCTAGTTACACATGCTAAAGGGAGTCAACAGCATTCCCTGAGCCCACACAGTGGGAAATGGAAACTAGAGGCTGATATTCGAGGGGAAATTAACAGAAAAGATGACAGACCCCCCCAGGGTGAATACGTCTAGGTTTGAATTCTGCACTCAGATAGACAGCCTCTGTTAAATGCTTTGTGCAGACTTTTTAAAGGTGTGGTACATTGTCCTCAAGTTTCAGAAAATAAAAATCTTTTCATTTACTTCTCGGTTAAAAATCTCCCGATATAAAGAAGGAAATTAAAGAAAATGTAGTTGGAGGAGCAGATCAGCTTTTTGATAGCATTCAGAGTGCAACCCAAGTATCTGAGAAACTTAAAACCACTATCTTTGTCTTACAAAAAGGGAGAGGAAATATTTGGAAATTTAACAACAACAAGAAGATCTTAAATGTCTACTCCATAAATATCAGTAAAAAGATTTGGCAGGTGAACTTAACTCTTTCCAATTGCTAAAACAAAATTTGGATCCAACTATTCTCTTATAAATTAATGAGTTTTGTACTGTACCTGATTCATAGCAAAAATTTAACAGAAGTTGTTATAAGGTCTCTGTGTGTGTTGACCTGTGTGTTCATGTATGTCTATAAGTGTATGTTGTAAATGTGAGATATTTTTCTACCTCTGGATGATATGGTCAAAATTAAGAGCTCTATTGAATTGGCTTGAAGTAAGTGCTTACATAAATTATTTCTAAATGTAATAAAAACTAACCCAAATGTTTTCAATTAACATGATATAAAATAATCTTTGGTAAATAAAAACTTATTTAAGTTTGTTGATTTGGTTGGAATAAACATGTCCTAGATGTCAGCATTGGAGATGATGCAGACATGCAGCCTGAGTTTACTAGTGAAATAAGCTCATGCTATCTTTGTTACAAATTCCTTAGCACAAATAATAACTTAGAATGACAGCTAATTTTGTCTAATGTCTCATGATGTTTTCATGGATAATCTAAACATAATTGTTGGGAACAAATGATTTAGATAGATGTAAGATAAACGTTTATAGATAAACTTTTAGCAATAATTATATTTTGTGTCATGTGTATTTAAAATAATTTCCAAAATCGGGGCTGGCCCCGTGACCGAGTGCTTAAGTTTGCGCGCTCCGCTGCAGGCGGTCCAGTGTTTCGTTGGTTCGAATCCTGGGCGCAGACATGGCACTGCTCGTCAGGCCACGCTGAGGCAGCGTCCCACATGCCACAACTAGAAGGACCCACAACAAAGAATGTACAATTATGTACTGGGGGGCTTTGGGGAGAAAAAGGAAAAAAATAAAATCTTAAAAAAAAAAATAATAATTTCCAAAATCTCTTTGGTAACTTGAAACTTTGAAGTTTTCCTAGGATACATTAGATAATGGAAAATTAATTGAATATCCAGATCATTTTCAAATAGGATAAAATGCTGAAACATCAACTGCTAAACAAGTCTAAGTCTATATACTTTTGTCTTCTTATTACAGAGAAGCTAAAAAATGTTTGAGCCTATTAATAAACATGTCTTTATTAAAAGATCATTCTATGATGTAGCTTGTTTCTAGGAATTATAAAAAGTATTTATAAATTTGCAAAGCCACAGAATGCTAATGTAAAAGACAGTTCATTATTGCTTACTTCTTAGTTTACAATAAAAATTAAGGTTTCTAAGGGTGAAATATTCTAATTAATACGTGTAATTAAAGCAACTAAAAATTACTAAGGGAAACATCTTTGTATTCAAAGAAAGTAAGATGTATGCTTTTGGTAAAGAACATATAAGAAATGGAGATATTTTTGTTTGTTGGTTAATAAAGTTATAGGTTTGTGAAAGAAGAACTCTGAAAAAAGAGTTTTGTGCATGGTTAAGTTGGCTAAGATTGAAATGAATTTAATTAAGTAAATTAATGTCCAATGTAACCTGGTGCAAAACTAGAAAAAACTAGAAAAAAAATAAATTTTTCTCTGTCTTTTTTTTTTTGAGGACAATTATCCCTGAGCTAACTACTGCTAATCCTCCTCTTTTTGCTGAGGAAGACTGGCCCTGAGCTAACATCCATGCCCATCTTCCTCTGCTTTATATGTGGGATGCCTACCACAGCATGGCTTGCCACGCGGTGCCACATCTGCACCCGGGATCCAAACTGGTGAACCCTGGGCCGCTGAAGTGGAATGGGTGCACTTAACTGCTGCGACACTGGGCCAGCCCCTGGTTTTCTCTCTCTTAAAAAGATACTTTTCTTGAACTTTTAGTCTGCTCTTGATAAAGAGATTATAAAAGGTTTTTCTTTATTTTTGAGTAAATCTACCTAAAAGGCAGAAATTCTGTGTTTGGTCAAAAATATAATTTCCTATGCTCAAAAAGCTAAAGTCTCTCTATTGAGAGAGGTAAGGTTTTTTAAAAGACTGTTTAACTTGCTATGTTAAATGGATAGCAGAGCATTGTTCCACAGTGACCTATGATCCTTTTGAAATGTTTGACTAACTTCCCCAAAATTCAAGTCCTAAATAAAGTCTTTCTTTTGACCTGAAAGTAACTTTGAGGATTTCCAGCAGACCCCTGGGACTTCTCAAAGAATGTGTTCCCTCTTCCTATAGAAAGGGAGATATTAAACTAATTAGGGTTATTTGGTATGTTAAATTTGCATGGGAAGCATTGTCAAATAAATGATGGTAAACCTTCTTAGGTCATATTGTGTGTGTAAATGTTGTTAATGTAAGTGTTTTAAAAATTATATAACATTCCTAAAATTCTGATTGGTTTTGGTTATCAGTCATAATTCTAGTTATCTTAAAATGCTATATGTCACAGAAATATCAGAATTTCTTTGTCAACTGCCATTTTTAAGTCTTTTGTCATTTACAGACAGTTTTATTTTTACTCTGATGCTTTTGCAAATATATTTCATCTTCAGAGAGATTCATGGAAAGGATTTTGACATTTACTCTAGAATACAAGTTTCTGATAAACTTTCAGATCATAAAACTGAACTGGGTAAGAAATTACAGAACTCAAGTGGAGAAACTGTTGGCTTCATAAAATTCCTAACAAAAGATGAAAATCAAGAATTGGGGGCTGGCCCTGTGACCAAGTGGTTGGGTTTGCACGCTGTGCTTTGGTGGCCCAGGGTTTCGCCAGTTTGGATCCTGGGCGCAGACATGGCACCACTCATCAGGCCATGCTGGGGTGGCATCCCACATGCCATGGCTGGAAGGACCCACAGCTAAAAATATGCAACTATGTACTGGGGGGCTTTGGGGAGAAAAAGGAAAAATAAAATCTTTTTTTTTAAAAAAGAATTGATTATATGGAGCTGAATGAACTGATGAAGATGATAATTTTTATGACTTTTCTTTGAAATATTGCTGATTTTTAAAATGTTTTGTTTTTCCATATATAAGGAAATCTTTTTCTCTTTTCTCTTAAGCTAACTATGACTTATAAAAATTTGGTAAATTATACCTTTGTGAGCAGAATTGAAGCATTTATCTTTTTCTCCCTACCTGATCCCTCCAGAATTTGGAAACTCTCAATAAATGAATATTCTTATTTTCATGGCAATATAGTTATTTGCATAAGTTCCATAAGAATCTTTTCTCCTTATAATAGGACACAATTAGAAACATTGGTTATATTACCAAGGCTTTGACTGGAATGTCATATTTGAGAGAGACATGCATAGACTCAGATATGACCAGACAGCTTTGAGGAACAAAGGTTGACTTTATGGAATCACTAAAACCCCTTGGAAATATTGGCCTAGCACATTGCTTACAGGGTCCCAGCAACCTTACCAGGTGAGTAAAGAAGATCACTTCCTGGCAGCTGCAACAAACCTCAGGATATTTTGGGGACCTCGAGAAGAGAGGAATTCAACCAAACCTATAGGTATTGCAGGCAGAGTTTGATGACAAGTCTTTGGCTTGGCTTTCCTGCCTCAATAGGCCTATAAAGTTCAACCTGAGATTCCTTATAAAAATTCCTGCAAAGAAAATTTAAAAGAGCCTCTATGATCAATCAGTGCTCTTCCTGTACTTACATAATTAATTGAGACAAGTTTATTGAAAGTAGACTTATTTTTCAAGCCAATTAGTCTTAACTTGGCTATCTTTGTTAAAAAATTAGGGTGAGTTTCAATGTTCATTGCAGCATTATTTACAATAGCCAAGACATGGAAGCAACCTAAGTGCCCATCAACAGATGAATGGATAAAGAAGATGTGGTATATATACCATGTAATACTACTCAGCTGCAAAACAGAACAAAATCATTCCATTTGCAATAACGTGGATGGACCTTGAGGGAATTATGTTAAGTGAAATAAGCCAGCTAGAGAAGGATAATCTGTGTATGACTCCACTCACATGAGGAATTTAAAAATGTGGACTAAGAGAACAGTTTAGTGGCTACCAGGGGAAAGGTGGGGTGGGGGGTGGGCACAAAGGGTGAAGTGGTGCACCTACAACACGAATGACAAACATTAATGTACAACTGAAATTTCACAAGATTGTAACCTATCATTAACTCAATAAAAAAAAGAGGGTGATTTTAGAAAGAAAAATTATGTTGTAGTAGAAACTATAATACACACTTTTGGCTTTTAGAGTCTACTTCTGTTAATTGTCTTTGAGGTCTTTGTTTTCTACCTGTAAACTGTACTGGAAATCTCCAAACTAATGTTTTCAATTTTTTTCCATCTTTTTTATTTGGAATCATTGAGAACTGAAACCACTCTTCCCCACAGCCCTGCAAACTGAAGCTGGACAACTTGATACAAACTTAAGAGAAATCACAGCACCCATGTTCAGACAATCTTCACACCTCTTGCTGTATAAGATACTAAAAAAGATACATGAACATCCAATGACATCATCAGAGACATTTCAAGCTGCAAAAGATGCTTCAACCCTAACATATAGAAATCTTCTTGACTGGCTGTCCCCTGGGCTCAGGAATGGGTTTATAATTTGCTTCACCATTAACCTTTGTTTTTCTTTTGTTTTCATAGAAATGCTTCTTATTAAATACTTGATTTCTTGTGTACAAATTAGAGGCCTAAGTTTGGGAGCACACCTGCATCACTGCCTCCTGAAATGAATTTAACTGGACTGAACTATTATCGGCACTAAGAGACTAGTGTTTAGTGTATGGAGCAATCTATCGTCTCAGCTTCTGGACTGTGAAACTTCTTGAATTTCCTAAGGCAGGATTGTGGGGGATCAGAATTTTTCACCCCAAAATGTATCTCTTTGGCTTGATTATTTTTAAGAACAAAGACTCAAGAAGAAACATTGACCTTCCCCCTAACTGCCTAAAAGAATTTAAGATAGAAGGCCTGTCCCAGGAAGCAGCTCTCACCATAGATAACTACAGTATCATATGACACAGGTGTGGTAAATGAGGAGGAACTTAGTAAGGCCCATTTAATCCAAGTCCTCCCCGTGTAACACTGTCTTCTCTAGGAATGGTAATCACTTATTTACCACACATTTGCTTTTCCACCTCCACGTAAATTACTTTCCTCCCCTTTGAAGTCCCAAACCACTGCCCCACAGCATCCTCCTTTGTCATTAGCTGAAGACGGGATTTAAAGTAGTGGCTTCAACCTTCTTGGTGAGTTACTCAGTTTTTCTGGATTTCTCCCATGTATGCATGTTATTAAACTTTGTTCAATTTTCTCCTGTTATTCTTTCTCATGTCAATGTAATTCTTAGGCAGCCAGAAGGACCAAAGGGTAAAGAAATTGTTCTTCCTGCCCTACGCATGTGATAGCTGAAGCTTTGCTCTCTGTCCTCTGCCTGAGTCCTCAGACCTCCACCGCAACTCCTGGTCCCCACCTTTCACTGCTTCTTCTGCTAACCACTGGCCTCTCCACGGCCAGGCATAATGGGCCCTGAGGAGAGGGGAATAGTAGACAATGTTAAAAAATAAAATTCAACTGAGTAAAATTTAAAGATCCTATTGGCTTTATTCAATGATTCATGAGTCGGGCAGCATCCTGTCTAGCAAAAAGAAAAGAACACTGAAGAGCTGCACATAATGACAGACTTATGGACACAAGGGGGTGGGATAAGGAAGTTACCAGCAGAGAGGATTGTTCAAGCCAAGGTCACCTTCCTTGGGGGACGGCAGGGGTGTACCAGGCTGACTCCCTCACTAGGGCTGATCAGGAAGTTCCAGACTGGCTGGTTAAGGTCACTGTCCTGGGGGCTGAGGCTGCACTGCGGCTACATGCCTAGTCTTAGTTTGCTGGTGGGGGCTTAGCTTTAGTGGCTCCACTTTGGGCCTGTTGTCTCTTTTTAACAATGCCTTCGTGTCGACGCAAATAATCTATAATCAATCTATAAATCAAAATTGGGGTGAGCCAAATGTGAGGACCATATAGCCTGGGGCCTTCTTTCCCCAAGGGAGGAAGGGCACCGAAGAAATGGGGTGTACAGAGTGGTTGTATACCATCAGAGAGCATGTATCACGTGTGATTGAAATGTCCCTTTTACAATAGTCACGAGACCGCTCTGTCTGCACAGCGATTGATGGACACAGCAGGTGGTAGCTCTGCTGTCTTGGGGGACACAACAGGGAGCAGGCCTGCTGCCTCAAGCTGGGTGGTCACAGGTGAGCACAGTAATCCTAGCCTAGGGAGAGATGCTCATCCTTAAGGAAATGCCAATGTGGGGGAAGTTGCACCTTTATCTTAAGGCCATTTGTTTTTGTCTGTGGGACATAGCAAATGCTTAAAGCAGATATACAATGCATGCTCAATGGCCACGTCAGGCCCTTTTGGAAAAACAAAGTCACACCGAATTAGTTTTACACCAAATGGCTTCCTCATCTACTCCAATATATCCTATTGCTTGCCATTTTTATTTGTTATTAGGGACTGTTGGTCTCAGATCAATTTCTGAATTAGGTTACTGAACCCAATTTCCATTTGTCATGGGGGAAAAGGACTTTCCACACTATAGCAAGCAACTCTCAGACACCAGCTGGGTGTCCTGCAGTTCAACTCGGCTCTGACACTGTCTACCTGGAGATAGCGTCAGATCCCACAGGTGAAGGGCTCCGTCCTACAAGCCTGCCCCCAGCTTCAGACTCCAGCCACAAGTCCAGGTTGTCATCTGTACTTCTGATGGAGTGGCTTTGAAGCAGAGGTTCCCACAACCCCCTCCTCAGGTTCAATTAAGTTGCTAGAGCGGCTCCCGGAACTCAGAAACATTTACTCATAATCACTGGTTCATAATAAAAGGTTGTAACTCAGGACCAGCCAGCCGGAAGAGTGCACAGGGCAGGGTGTGGGGAAGGAGCGAGGAGCCTCAATGCCCTCTCGGGGTGCCTTACCTCCCCACTTTCCACGTGCACCACGAGCACCAACCTGGGAGCTCTCTGAGCCCCTTCCTGAGGGTTTCTGTGGAGGCCTCATCATGGGCACAGTTGATGAAATCGTCGCTTTGGTGACCTGCATCCCCTCTCCCCTCCCCAGAGGTGGAGGTGGGGCAGGCTGACAGCCCCAGCCCTCTAACCACGTGGTCGGTTCTCCTGCAGCCCCATCCAGAGGGGGTCCAGTCACCTCCTTAACATGGCAGAAAACACCTTTCTGCTGTCATCATGTGACATGCCAAGGGTTTTAGTTCTGTGCCAGAAATGGGATGAAGACCAAATGCACTTTTCTTATTAGAAATCACAAAATCACAATATCTCAACTGGCAAGGCATCATTCTGGCCCCTCTTTCACATGGGGCACATGGGGGCCAAGGAAGTGGGGGCTCCAGACGCAATCAAACTGAAACCAGCTCAACACAAGGGTGACACAAGGGAAGCCATATTGTAGAAAAGAGACCATGTTGTAACTTTGAATGACCTCTGACTAGCTAACCCAGATGGATCTGCACCCTCCAGGAGATCCACCTTTTCTGTGGATTTTATGACCCCTGCTAGTACATATACCTCTCAGCTGCGATAAGACAATAACTTGGTTCTTTTGAGTTCCTTAGGAATGTGATGACCCCCCAAACAGAGAGTCTATGCTGATAGCCATCATCAATGCAAACTGAAGGATCTGATGTGGCAACTCCCAGTCTGTAACACCAGAGGGTCAACATTCCTAACCCCTCCCCTATAACCCACTGGCCTAAATAACTGCTTCAGGAATCTGGGCCCCCCTTAAGATGGTTCTTTTGGACATTAGTCAGCCATCTTCCCTCTTGCTAGCAAGCTGTGATAACATGCCCTTTCTCTGCCACCATCTTGCCTCTTGATGATTGGCTTTTGTCTTGCAGGGAGCAGATTGTGCCCTTTGTGCAGTATCAAAACTCTCAGGGGGGCCCCGGCCCCTCCCAGCAGATGTTCCCCACTTCCTGGATGTGAACTGGAATAGAAATAAATGGTGGTGGGCACATCCTCACATTGGGTCTACAGCCTTCTGGGTCAGACCTGTGTAGTCTGATGGGCCAGGTGGAGTTGTCTGGAATTACTCCCCACTACCCACCCTGAGAGGGACTGAAATAAAAACCAATATCCCATCCTGGGAAGAAGAGCAGAAAGTAGTGCCACCCTCAAATCCTAATGGGTTCAGGGGTGCTCACCACTGGAAATCTCCATTTTCATCACCCTTCTGGCCCCAAGACCCAGATGGACCCTGGTGGAGACAGTGGTCCACTGCAGATCAAGCAAGGGTGAGCCCCAAGTATAGCTGCTATGCCAGACACGGATCAACTTGACCTTGGGGCTGTGGTCTGTGGACAGTGATCTGGCAAAGGCAATCTTTCCCATCTTGTCTCTAACCATGTGGGCCGCCAGCTGACCCGGTGGCAGAACTGCCCATCACAGCAGGGTTGTGTCAGACCCACCAATCAGAGCTTCAGGTGGCCCAGCAGCGATGCTTATGAGGATGGAAGTGGAACATTCCAGATCAAACAGGCAGGTTGTCCTGACCCTGTGTCGTCCACCACTGCTTCCCAACGCCGGTCCCTCTGTTCACGCCTGGGACTGCAGGGGCAACCCCTTGGGACCAGATGATGGAGAAGGAAGGATTCCCAGCCTGGTTCTCCATGATCAGCTCCGTGTTCAGCAGAAAGCTGGACACAGCTGGAGCCTGAACTCCAGCCCCCTCAGGGGTGGCCTGAACATTCCTGGGAAGGCAAAGTTCCCCATGGGCAGATTACAGCAGGGCCCCGGCCATCCTCTTTGTGTGGGGAGAAGTGGACACGGAAAGAATGAACGTGGAGACCTGGACATAGAGAGGCCAGTGGCAGCAGAAGAAAGCATGGAAGGTGGGGACAGGGGGCTGGGATGGAGACCTCAGGATGCAGGCAGAAGATGGGGATGTTACAGAGCCTGAGATGTTACGTGTTACTTTCAGAAGAAGATCCAGGTCCCGTGGCCTGGCAAATGGCCTGTAGCAGAGGAGTTCAACTTCCAGGAATTTTGTGAGTCAATTCTGAACATAGCCATGATTAAAATTAAGTCCTGGAAACTATCAATCACTGACATTACATGAGACAAAAGTCATCATTACCCAAACACATCACTTGGCAACTCTTTCACCACGTTTTCCTGTTCCTTTCATTGAGGTTATTTAGGTCTCCTTTACCAGCCACGTGGCAAAGAGCTGCACCAGGGTGGGCCGCTGCCCGTCGCTTTCCACTGCAGGAGCAGGGGCCTTGTGCTGGCCAGAAATGGCCCACGGTTGGAGTGTTGTCCCAGAGACACTGGCAAGTGTGGCCCTCAGGACACTGAACAGGCAGCAGCCCTCCAGGCCTGCAGGCATCTGTCTCTGCCCCTCACTGACCGCCCCCGACGCCAGGCTCCAGGGACAGGTTCCCTCCCTCCCTCACCCGGACTGCCACGTGTGCTGCTTTGGCTCAGGCAGACAGGCCAGCCTTCTGGGTCAGTGTGGGTGCAGCAGGAATACAGAGCCACACTAGGTATTTCCACAGGGAGGATGTGACATAGGAATGGGTGATAGGGAACCCCCGTAACAAGAGACTTTCACATATTTAGGTAATGGGGTAACTATTTGAGTTCAAAACTGTTTTGGTTTGAACTAAAAAGCCTGACTTATGGCTTATCAAACAGACATTGCACATCTGCTTAACGGTTAAAGCAAAGAAAGTACTTTCTCAAGATAAGAATGCAGACTCCCCTCCTACTCCTGTTGGTACTGGCCTGTTTGTAATGCTCCATTAGTCCCTTTCCTAACTTCAGGGTCATGTTGATCTGCTGATTTGCAGCTAAATACTTCTTGAAACTTTGAAAATGTATCCCCGGTGTGTTTAAGGTATGTTCTTTGTTCTAAATGGATGTAAGACTGAAAATGACGCTTCCCTGGAACACTTTCTAAGGCCTACCCAGTTATAATCCTTACTCTGACTCAAGTAAAACTCACTTCATTGCTCTAATCTAAAGAATGGCTATTGGTTATCTTGCATCGACAGACAGCTGTTTTGGGGCAGCCCCGGGGTGGTAACTGCAGGAAGCAGCTGACACCCTTGAGGGGAACCCAAGGAAGGGGTTGAAATGATCAGACCCTGGAAACCTGGAGCAGGCCCAGGGCCTGAGGCCCAGACCTCTGGGTGGTGTGAGAGCCGCAGGGGCACCTGGAGGCTGGTCTGGGAGCCTTGACACAACTGGGCCTCCAGGCAAAGGCGACAGCTCCTAAAGGGACAGTGCAGGCCTGGCCATGGGCCTCCCACACCCTCGTCCTCTCAGGTAAGGACTGCAGACAACAAGGAGAACAGACGGATCCTTCAGTCTTAAAGAGCCGTGTCCTGGCTGCTAAGCTGACCTGACTTTCTCCCTGGGAAGGGGGCACAGGCCCGCCAGCGGAGGAGCCATCCTGACAACACTGGAGCTTCACCCTGTAACCACCCCAATGACACCTACGGGAAATGATAGGGACCAGAGGGAGGAGGGGGGTGGGGCTGCACAAGTATGCTGGCCCCGTGCTCCAAAGCTGCTGCCAAATGCCCTGGAGTCATCCTGTCTCTCACCACAGCCGCCTCCTCACATCACAGAGCGCCCAGAGTTCCTGTTCCTGGGGGACCCTGGGGAGAGGGCCTGGAAGGCTCCTTGGGGGCAGGCAACACAGGCTGCTGGGTCCTGACCTGCAGCCAGGAAACACCCAGACCCCACCTGCTGCCTAGACTCAGAGCCAGAGCAATGTCCTGTGGCCCGAGAGCGGGCTCTTCTTTTGTGATGCAAGTGCCTCACTTCCCCTTTAACTGCTGAGGCATCTGCTCAAGGAAGTCTATCCGGAATAAACAACTGCCAGCCACTCGGCTAGATAAAGAGCCAGGGGACCGCCCCCTCCCCAGGCCCCCCATGAGTCTCCTTTGTTTTCGATCCCGTTGACATAACCAGCCTTTGGGCTGCTCGTTTGGTTTTCTTTGTGTTTCTCTCTTCCTGTGCTTTAAATTCCTCCTCTTATGTTTTAAAGTCACCAATAGAGAGTGAGCCCTGGAAACTCTAGACCCCTCCCTGGACCCCGATTGCTCTCTGTCTCTCTCTGGCCCCAGGACTTGTAAGTAATAAGCTTTTTTCTCCCATGTTTCCTGATGGTTACTGCTGAAGGGCGTCTTGCAATCATAAGAACCATGAGGGCTGGTCCAGGGAGGGGAGATGTCTGTGGAAAGCTCAGCAGGGTCCAGGTGAGTACCCCCAGGCATTGCTAGCCGATAGCCTTACCCTCGGTAGGTGGAGACGGCACAAAAGGACAACAGACTTCAGAGAGGAGGCGTGGGACTGCCCAGGTGTGGGCTCTGGGGGGAGGACTCCCTCTGGGCCTGGAGTGTGGAGTCTGAATGAGGGCCTTGTGGGGGCCCTGGCTGGGGAGAGTGAGGTTCTGCAGCAGGCTTGGGGCTGGGCTGCGGGAAAGGGTGGATGGCTCCCAGTCCCCAGGGCTCATCTACACCCCTGAAGGAGGCGGGTCAGTAGGGACAGGACCAGACCTGATCGCCTGGGACAGGAAGCCCCTCTTAGACCACAGCCCTTCCTCCAACCCTGCCCTAGTGTAATTTGACACTCAGTCATTTGTTCCGCCCTCCTGGTACCCAGCCAATTCCCGATTTCCCCAAAGCCAGGAAAAGGAAACTTCAGAGAAAACGAAACTACTGGGGAAAGAAAAGGCCCACTGAGCACTGTCCAGTCGTCCGGACCGCTGCTCGCTCCATCCTGGCACCATGAACCGCACTTTCCAGACCTTTGTCAGTGGCGCCCACACTGGTGTCCCCCCGACCTATGAGATGCTCAAGGAGGAGCATGAGGTGTCCGTGCTGGGGGCACCGCAGAGCTCAGCTCCCGTGACGACCACCGTGATCAACATCCACAGCGAGACGTCTGTGCCCGACCACATCGTCTGGTCCCTGTTCAACACGCTCTTCATGAACTGGTGCTGCCTGGGCTTCGTGGCCTTCGCCTACTCCGTGAAGGTGGGTGGGTACGTGGGGGCATCTCCAGAAAGTGTGTGTCAGCATGTTAGGTCCCCACCCAGATGGCACCTGGGTTGTGGGGGGCCTTGTGTGTGTGTGTGTGTGTGTGTGTGCGCGTGCACAGATCACAATGGGGCTGCATGAGGTGCATGGCCATGGCCAGGGTCTGACTTTGTCCCCAGGACTCCAGGGAATTCCTCTACTGACCAAACCAGAAATTACATCCCTCAGACTCAGGATGGGGCTCCAAGGATCTCTCGGAAGGAACAAAGGGACTCACAGGGAACGCTGCCCCATTGCGGGGCGAGCAGCCAGTGAAGAGGCCAGAGCAGAGGGAGGAGGAGCCTGAGGCCTCCTGGAGAGGCTGAGTCTGTGAGGAAGGAGATGGAGGCCCAGCTGGGAGGGCCCACGGGGCACGGTGCTGCTCAGGCTCCAGGGGACGGGACGGGGTGGCCCCATCTGGGTGAAGGGCAGGTGCAGGCTGCTCTGGGCAGGGACCAGGCAGGGAAGGACCTGAGTCGCTGCACCTGGCTCTCCCAGACCCCCTCCAGGTCCCTCTCACTGTGTCTTCTCCCCCAGTCTAGGGACCGGAAGATGGTGGGCGACGTGACTGGGGCCCAGAGCTATGCGTCCACTGCCAAGTGCCTGAACATCTGGGCCCTGGTCTTGGGCCTCTTTCTGAGCACTGGATTCATCGTTCTTATGGGATTTACCTGCCTGACACTCTACCAGATAATTGTAAAGGCCATGCAGGACGGCAGAGGCTACTTCTAGCTGCCCATGGGCACAGCCCCGTCCCCATCATGCCCTGCTGGCCTCACATGCTGGGGCTTTGGCCCTGCCCACTTGCCCATACCCTTTTCTACAGCAGTTTTTGCAGACATACCCGTCTACACCTGGATTCAATAAAGTGCACTTGCCTGTGACAGTGCTGTGTTATCGCCCTTCATGAAGGCTACCCTGGGGGACGGGGGGGCCTTCCTGACCACTGTGGCTGGGATGGGGGTCACCTGATGTGGATCTGCCCAGTCTACCTCAGGAGGTACTGTGGGCCCCTCCTACCTTGGATGAAGCCCTTCCTGGACTCAGAAGGGCATGTCTGCCAGGCTCCTGTGCTCGTCTCCCCACACCCCTGTTATGTACCCCGAAAATCAGTGAGCTAACTCTAGGAGGCAGCTGGAAGATTGGGACCTCTAGGATGAGCCATGGGAGTCCATGGGGTGCCCCTCTCCCTGGGGGTCCCACGTGTTGGAGTACTAGAGAGGGACAGGTCCAGGAAGGTGGATCTGGCAAAGGCAGTCTTTCCCATCTTGTCTCTAACCATGTGGACCTCCAGCTGACCCGGTGGCAGAACTGCCCATCACAGCAGGGTTGTGTCAGACCCACCAATCAGAGCTTCAGGTGGCCCAGCAGCGATGCTTATGAGGATGGAAGTGGAACATTCCAGATCAAACAGGCAGGTTGTCCTGACCCTGTGTCGTCCACCACTGCTTCCCAACGCCGGTCCCTCTGTTCACGCCTGGGACTGCAGGGGCAACCCCTTGGGACCAGATGATGGAGAAGGAAGGATTCCCAGCCTGGTTCTCCATGATCAGCTCCGTGTTCAGCAGAAAGCTGGACACAGCTGGAGCCTGAACTCCAGCCCCCTCAGGGGTGGCCTGAACATTCCTGGGAGGGGAAGGGCCCCCATGGGCACAGCTGCAAGCCAGTGACGCTCATTGGGCACTTCCCCCAGAGGGACAACACGTATTCTGATGCCTCCAAAGGGCCTTCCAAGCTCCAGATCTGAGGGTCAGCAGTCTTTGCTGGACCTCAGTGCACCTCAGCTTCTCCTGCCCCATCCTGCTTCCTTCCTCTCCCTTCCACTGGGCTTGACCCCAAGAGCTATTAAATGTCCTGCACACGAATCTCCTTCTTGGAGTTTGTTGTCCAGGGAATGTGGCCTGGAGCAAACTTGCAGGGCCTTATTAGCAATTGCCATGACTTTGGATCTCACTTGGTATGAGGTGAGAGCCAGTGCAGTGTTCTGAGCAGAGAGGGGGACACGACCTGTCTTCCAACAGGATTGCTCTGGCTGCCACACTGAGAGTGCCAAGGGGAGTGGCTCTGTTAATCCAGCAGGAGGTGAGGTTGCGGTGGGGGTGGTGAGATTCCACCTGTCCTGGAAGGTGGGGCCAAATGGACTTGGTACAGGGAGCAGGGGGCAGGGGTAAGCTAACCCTTTTGGCCTGAGCAGCTGGGTGGGTGGAGTCACCATCACCTGTGATGGGGGAGACTTCACCGAGGAGAAGTGATGGACTGAATGTTTGTGGACCCCAAATTCACATGTTGAAGTCCTAGTGACTGCTGTGACGGTATTAGGAGGTAATTAAGTCACGAGGGTGGAGCCCTTGTGATAACTTCTTATAAAAGAGACCCCACAGAGCTCCCTAGCCCCTTCCACCTTGTGAGGACACAGGGACCGCCTGCAACCAGGAAGAGGGTCTCGCCAGAACCTGTGCACACTGGTGCCCTGATCTTGGGCTTCCATCCTCCACAACTGTGAGAAATAAACCTCTGTTGTTATGAGCCACCCAGTCTGTGGTGCTTTATCTCAGCCCAACTGACTAAGACAGGAGGTCTGGGGTCGGAGCCTGAGGTCTCTTCTCGAAGAGTTAGGTTGCAGATCCCACCAGCCTCCTGCACCGAGCAGGCACTTGAGGGGTGAAGTCTGGCCATTGGACATAACATGAGTCACTGGCACGTACACTTACAGCCAAGCATCCACTGGACCCTGCAGAGAGAGATGAGGTCAAGAAGAGCCCTGAGCTCACGCCCCCAAACATCTCTGGACTGGGGAGGGCAGGAGGAGTCGGCCAAGGAGACTGAGAAGCAGCTGTCTGCCCGCGAGGGAGGAGGGCAGGCCCTGCACTGGGTCAGGAGAGCTCATCGCAAGCCTGACAGCCATGATAGCCTTGTGGCTGGTCCTGGGTGCCTCCCGCAGACCTGCACATGCCACACCCCCTCGCCTGCCTTCTTCCCTGCTGTTTTCTCCTTGCCTCTGACCCTGCTGTGGCCTGTAGCCTCCCACTAGCACGTCAGCAGGGACTTTTGCCTTTCCAGGCTGGGCACTACCGACCAGAAGGTGATGAGGGCACAGCCTGAGCTCTGCGTTCTGGGGCTAGAAGAGCTGGGGTTTCAGCAGCCCTGGTCCTGAGGAGGGGGGCCTAGCCCACGCCTGGTGGGCTTCAGCCCTTCCCTGACGCTGAGGCAGCCTGGTACCTGTACCCATGGCCCTGAGGTGGATCTCCAGCTCCTTTTGGCCACGGGGAAGGGGGCTCTGGTGGGCAGTCTGCAGCGACTACACGCCCTGCCCAGCAGCCTTTGGCGGCGTGAGGGGAGAAGGTGTGCAGGTGGGGTGGTATGCTGCCACTGCACGCTCACCATCAGCAGCCTTGGGTGGGAGGGCGCCTTGGGGCGGGGCTTGAGGGAGGGAGGGGTTCTGATGGGGGTCCGCGGCCACTGAACGCCTCCCAATCCTTGCAGCCTTCCATGGGAACTTGTGCGGGTGGGGGCCGCTGGCGGAACGCAGGAGCATAAGGGGGCCGATGGGGAGAGATGGGGACGGGGGCACGGGACGGGGCGGGACAGGGGGGTGGGGGGCTCGCGGGGGTACGGGCGGGCCGGCGCCCGGCTCCAGGCTGTCATTTGTCGTTATATTTAGCGTCGGCGCTGGCCAGCCCGCCGTTGGGGGCAGGGCTGCGGGCGCTATAAGCGGCCCGGGGCGCCCACCCTCGAAGCGGAGTCTGCGCGAGGCGGAGACGGCGCTGGAACCCATGGACACGTCGTACCCCCGCGAGGACCCCCGGGCCCCCCGTAAGGCGGACGGCGCCGCGCACACGGCCCTTGCGCTGGGGGCGCCGCGCTCCCCGCCTCGGGACCACCTGATCTGGTCGGTGTTCAGCACCCTCTACCTGAACCTGTGCTGCCTCGGCTTCCTGGCGCTGGCCTACTCCATCAAGGTGGGCGGGCGGGGTGCTTTCTGGGGGGCTTTGTCGAGGGGGCCTAGAGCGTTTGAGGGGGCTGCTTGTAAGCTGGGGGCAGGGGAGGGGTCTCTATGGGGTTTGGTGGTCACTGGGGGGCTGCTTATCAAGTAGAGGGAGGAGGGGGTCTCCAAGGGGAGCTGCTTATCAAGGGGCTACTCCCTGGGGACGGCGGGCTCTGCGCTCTGCAGCTCATGAGGGCGTCCCAGGCCGGGTGCTGCTCACAAAAACGAAGGGGCTGTCCTCAAGGGAATCTAGTCCATCCAGAAGAGTCGAGTCGATGGGGGGTTACCCAAGGGGGCCTCTTTCATCAAATGGGGGCTTTTCACATGCTGGGGGTCTTGTGAACAAAGCCCCCTACCTTCAGCTTCTGGGGGGGTCTCAGCACCCCAGAGGACTCCCCACTTGGAGGGTCCTTGCAGGCTGAGGCTGGCCTGGGATGGCCACTGGGTCCATAGCTGGAGTGGGAGGAGACAGGGGCCCCTTCCAGCTCCTCTTAGGCTGAGGTCCCCTAGGACACAAGGGCCCTTGGAGGGCCAAGCCCCAGTGTCTGGTTGGGGGCTGTGAAGGGAGTGAGTCAAGCCCAGGGCAATGTCCCCTCAGGCCACATCCCTCCATCCAGAGTTTGGGTCCAGCATGGTGTGGACCCAGTGGTTTCCTGGGGTGCGGGAGGCAGGCCCCTCGCCCCAAGCACAAATAGAGACCTGGCCCTGCCACTGGTTTGCAGGCCCGAGACCAGAAAGTGGCTGGAGACTTGGAGGCAGCCCGGCGTTTCGGCTCCAAGGCCAAGTGCTACAACATCCTGGCCGCGATGTGGGCGCTGGTGCCGCCGCTGCTGCTCCTGGCACTGGTGGTGACTGGCGCCTTGCACCTGTCCCGGCTGGCCAAGGACTCTGCTGCCTTCTTCAGCACCAAGTTCGACGACTCAGACTATGACTGACGGGCTGGGCCCTGCCCCACGTTCTGACCCAGGGCCACCGCCCCCCAGGGTGCCGCCCCGGGGGCTCCACCCTGACCCCACCACAGGGCCTGCTGCCCACTGCCCTGGCCTGGGCACCCTGAAGATCCCCTTTGGATCCCAGGGGCTCCGCTCTAACCTTAATGGCCCTGGTCCCCTCACTCCCTGCCCCGCCCAGGCCCCCCGCCCCACTCAGTCCCAGCCTCGGCTCCTGATTAAAAGTGCCTGGTTCCAGAAAGTGCCTCCTGGGCCTTGTTCCTGCTGGGGTGGGGGAGGGCGTCTGCCTGAGGGGGGCTACCCTAGGGACCACCGCAGCCAAATCTGCTTGCACTGGCCCCCACATCGATGGTGGGACATCCCCTTCCGTCCCCTTGGCTGTGTGCTGACTCTCCCCTTTGCTCAGGCTCTGGGTGGCCTGTGGCTTCTGGGGCGGAGGCGCCTGAGTATTTTAGAGTCAAGTTTGGGGACTTGGGCTGTTGCTCTCTGCTGCCTGCTGGGCCTTGTGGTTTGGTGGCCTGTCCTCCAGAACGGGTGTGGTGTGTCTCCCTGATCCCGTGTGTGTGCCATCCCAAAGGCTGTGTGCACCCGTGTTTGTGCATGTGTGTGCATACAAGTGGGAGCCCCTGGCCACTGAGATTTCTCGCCTCGTCCTGTGTGTTCCTGTCTGGGTCGGGTGTGTGCTGACCTCCTCTTTTGGGTCGCTCTGTCTGTCCCGGTGACTCCTGCATTCCTTTAATTCTGAGAAGTCTCAGTTCTGCAGTGGGTTCCCTCCCCCCTGGATCAGGGGCTGGACACAGACACACGAGCACACATGCACGGTCACATCGTCATCCATGCACACATATGCCATACACACATGCACATGATCACCAAGCCACACAGACACACAACTGTGAAGAGAGGGGAGACTGGGGACTGAGGACATTTTCTGAGTGTCCTTGGTGCTGGGTGTGTGTCTTTGTATTATTCACTTCCCTTGTGCAGCCCCCCACCAGAACAAGCAGAGCATGGCAAAGTTGGGGGGGTAGGTTGCTAAACAGATGCACACAGCCTGTGTGGCTGGGGTGAGGCCCTGGGACTTGCTGTGGCCAGGTCAATGATAGGGTAGCTAACTGCAGGGCCTTAACCACAGGGCAGCTCAGGATTTGGAGCACTCCACCCAGGGTCCCTTTCCAGCCCACTGTGCCTGGGCTGAGGATGGGGGCCTCTGTCTAGCTGCTGTACTTGAAGCCTCCAGAGTACCCCCTCCTGTGACAGCCAACCACCAGCCCAGCTGTCCCTAGGGTGCCAGCAGAGATGGTGTCCTGGCCATATGCCAGCCGGGTGCTGGGCCCAACTGGACAAAGGACAAGGGCAGTGTGCCAGTGCCTGGACCAGGATGGAGACAGCATGCTGACCCTGAATGCTAGGCTGGGCCCAAGAAGGGATGAAGCCGTGCTGGGCGCACATTCTGGGAGCGGGGTCAGCCTGTGTGTGGCTGGGTCCATTTCCGCAGGCATGGGATGGTCTGCCAATCCCCACATTTGGTGAGGGGAGCGGAGATTGTCTGTCCCATGCCCCGGTGCTGAGGACCAAGCGTGTGGTCACGTCAGGTGTGGGGGCAAGTCACGGGCAGCCCTCACTGCCCAGGCTGTCTCCTGGGCATGCACTGCGACCTTGCCCCGCCCCTCAGAGGGCCGCCCTGCTATGCATCCAGGTGGCTGCTCACGGGTGGCATGGCCAGGCAGCAAGAACCAGGCTATATCAGTCCTGTGGGTGCAGGGCCACCTGCCACCCATCTTGAGGCCTGCATCCACGTCTGGTCCAGGGCTGCAAGGGTAAGTGTCTGCTCCACAGGGACAGGTCCCAGCTGCCGTGCTCGGCTTTCGCAGACCAGCCTGGGCCTTTCCTCCACAGCCATGAGTTGAGGGAGAGCCTGTGGGCGCCTGGGCGAGCCCCACCAGGATGCTGGCTACATTCCCCGAGGACACAGGCCCTCAGGGAGCCTGCAGTGACAGGCATGCTGGTTGGCAACGTGGCCACATTCCCTCGTAGGCCAAGCTGTCCCCCATGCTGCTTGCTGCAGCAACACAGCCCTGGGATCCCCACTGCCTGCACCCACCTCCTTCCTCTCTCCCGCTTTGTCCATCACAGTTCCTCTGCCTGTCATCTGCTTCTCGCAAAACAGGGACAACGATGCGCGGTTGGCGGGAGTAGAGGGCGGGAAGTGGAATGTTTGCCTGCTCCACGGGAGGGAAGAAGGAGCACACCAGCTCCTGAGAGCAGACGGAGCTTTTCCCAGCAGCAAACTTTAATTCCTCAGGCTGACTTGGCGCAGCTGGCACAGCCCTCACCAAGATCTCGGCAGCAGATGCCATGTCACCTCACTCTCGGGCCACCCCCAGGACCCAAGTTTGACATGCCAACTGAAGGGCCAGCTGAGGCCCCAGGAGGAGACCTGGGCAGGGCCTCCAGCCATAGGCAGCCTGCCCAAGACACACGGGCCCAGGCCCGTGGCCTTTAACCCATGCACACTTCGCTGCGTCCTTCTGGTTGGTCAGAGGGAAGATGCAGGGTCTTGCTCCACACCCTACTCCCCTCCCTTCCCGCTGAGGAAAGGCATGTGATGGAGCCATCCAACCTGACAGAAGTGGCCCAGAGGCCAGAGGATCCAAGGACTGAGGATGCTGAGTCCCCACAATAGCCCAAGAGCACCTGGACCCAGCCATGCCTGATGCTCAACAGTGCAACACAGAAGTCCCTTTGTGGTGAAGTTGCAACTGAGTTCTGAATAATTCCACAGGGACGGAGTCCCCTTCCCCACTCCCTGGTCCCGCCATCCTCCACATCAAGGCCTCCACATCGGGCCCTGCACCTGCCTCTGCCTTCTCAGCAGAGCTGTGGGCTTCTCCCCACCCTGTCCTGTAGCGTCCTGGGGAAGGGGCACCGAGGGATGGCAGGCACAGATGTGGCTGGTGTGGGAGGTCGTGGGGAAGCCACTCAACCAGGGGGTTTAAAGGACTGGGAGGGGCTCAGGCTAGAAGAAGACAGTCATGAACTTTGGGCTGGAGAATCTAGACTTTCCCTGGAGCCCGTGCGCCTGGCTGCCGGGTGGAGGGTGGGTGGCAGGGGGGCGGCAGGCCAGGAGGGCATTGAAGAGGGGCACCCGCAGAGGGAGTGGCCAGAGGAGAGGACCCCAGAACACCCCTGAAGCCGACAGCCCTGGTCATTCTGGGGCAGCACCAGGACAGCTTTGAGTGAGCGACTTGGTGGGGCTGGAGGGCCCAAGGGTGTCCCAGAGAAGGTCCTGCGGGCTCTGGGGCTGGAGTCTAATGTCTTCAAAACACTCTCCGAGCAAACTCTTGGAGCAGAACCTGCTGCTCCTGCTTCCTACGAGAGTGACCTCTGTATCCGGCCAGCTGACCAGGGAAAGGAGACCTGGTTTCCTGCAGGGAGAGGGAACATCCTAGGGGAGGGCACACGCCCAGGGACCACCCTGGGGGCCACACGTCCCAGACCCCTGGGCGAGTCTGGGGGTAGTTGCCTACCTGGGGGCAAGGGGAGCCGAGCCAGTGATGGCCACAGCTCAACCTCCAGCGGGGAGGCCCCAGGCGCTGTGGGGGCCATGACCTCAACTGTCACAGAGTCCCCGGAGAAGGAGAAGTCAAGCTTGTTCCCCTGGTAGGAGACGCCAGAGACGGACACTCCAGAGATGCCCGCTGGACACAGTGGGTTGAAAGTCACCCCGGCCCTGGTGATCCTGGGGGCGGGGAAGTTCTGTGAGGAGGGCGGGTGGGGGCAGGTGACCACCCTCTGCCAGCCACTGCACTCACCTGAACCCCGTGAACCCAAAGAGTGCCGCCTGCAGGAAGCCCCCCATGCCCGTCAGGAAGTTCACCGCGCCCGACCCGTCTGCATTCTCCGTCCAGACCTGCGGGGCAGGCAGTCAGTGCTGAGACCCCCGGACACTGGCCCTCCGGAGCCGTCATTGCTGCTTCCAGAAGCACCCAAAGTCAGGTGGGAATCGCCAGGGTGGTGACCCTGCTGTGCCCTGAGGCTGGGCTCTGCCTCCTCCCACCCAGGGGCCCAGCAGGAGGCAGGCATGGTCAGCTTTCCGGTGGCCAGGCTGACCTTGAAGGGCTCGGTGATGTTGGCAAAGCTCCTCTCCAGGAGGTCACGGGCCCGCCTGGCATCCTTCAGCTCCAGCCAGCCCACGGCAAACATGCTCTGGGGTCAGAGGTCAGAGGACATGCTGAGGGGAGGCCCACTGTGTGTGGAGGGAAGACTGAGGCCAGTGCGGCAGAGGGCAGGGCTGGGGCCACATGAGGACCACCACCCACACCCCACAGTCTCCTTACCCAGGTCATGGCAGGGCCCTGGGGGGACGTCACAGCCTCATAAATCTCCAGGTTCGTCCTGCGAACACAAGGGCTCAGGGGGAAGGGGACGGGGTACCCCAGCAGCACGACGTCCGCCTGCTTCACCTCCTCTCCTAGGGGGGGCAGGCACTGCTGGTGGGGGAGGAATGGGGAGGGTGGGGAGAGGGGGCAACACAGGTCCTGAGGGCGGGGAGACAGGGCCATGAAGGAGCTCGAGTCCACTCACCCAGCTGATACCCATCAAACTCAGGGTGGAAGTTCTGCTCTGGGTCAAAGGGCACCTTGATCTTATCAGCTACCACCAGCCACCGGTTGGGGACTGGCTTACCCAGGTCCTGGGCCAGGGCAGCAGCAAAACGCAGGCTAGGGGAGCAGGTAGGGAGAGAGGGCTGCAGCCCAGTGCTCCTGACTGGCCTCCTGCATGGTGGAGGTGGGGCGGGTCCTTGGGTCTGACCTGTTCTGGACCAGGACGTTGGTGTACACAGAGTTGTTGACTCCTGAGTGGTATTCGTCGGGAGGCATGACTCCTAGGCAAGTGAGTGCAAGATGGTGCTCAGTCTGGGTCTCAGGGACCTGCCCCTGATGCCAGCAGCCAGGATGAGGCTGGCAACACCTGGGGCAGGAATCACAGGTTGAATCTGGCAGCATCCACCTGCTCCCTTCTTGTTACCATCAGCCTTCCCCTCATCATCCACCCCCCATGACCATCGGCCCTCCCCCCATCATCCACCCCCCATGACCATTCATCCTCCCCCCATCATCCACCCCCCATGACCATCGGCCCTCCCCCCATTACCCACACCCCCCATGACCATCGGCCCTCCCCCCATCATCCACCCCCCATGACCATTCATCCTCCCCCCATCATCCACTCCCCCCATGACCATTCATCCTCCCCCCATCATCCACCCCCCATGACCATCGGCCCTCCCCCCATGATCTACACTCTGGATGACCATCTGCTCCCCCACATTTGCCCTCACCCGTGCACACCTTCTCTCCTCCCATGCCCATCCTCCCTCATCCCATGGCCACTGCTCCCCCATCAACATCCCCCCTCTGCCCATGACCACTCTCTCCTCTATGACCATCTGCCCCATGCCCATCTCTCTTACCCTCATGACCATCTTCCCTCCCCCCAGTTCCTTGCCCCCTTTTGACCACCTACCCCCCATGCCCTCACCCCTCAGGTGGTAATTCTCCTCCTCTGGGCTCCACTCCACACGGCTACACCAAAACTCAGCCACAGCACTGATCACGTCCCAGCCACCAGCCTCTTGGAAGAGCTGCAGGTCCTGGGGGAGGAAGAGGGTGGGACAGAGGCCACAGCCCCTGTGACGCTAGTTCCCACTGGGTCACTGCATTTCTTGCCAAAGCCCACACTTCCGAGTGCCCAGAAATGAAGGCCTGGCTCCAAGATGCTTCACAGGACTGGCTGCAGGCAGGAAGTCACAGCGGGGTAGGGGAGCATGGCCACACCGGGGTGGATGGTCACACCTGGCAGGCACACTGACACCTCACCTGGGTGATGTGGTAATACAGTTGGAAGGCCAACACTACTGCCCCATTGACGTGGACCTCCTGGGCCCCGTAAATGTCCTCAGGGCAGACCTCCAGGCCAGAGCCCGCGCTCTCCCAGGCAAACTTGGCTCCCTGAGGGGTTGGGGGGTTGAAGTGGACTCAACTCTGTTCTTGGGGGGTCAGGGGTAGCCCACCCACTTCCCCATGTTCTCAGCCTTCAGCTGGGGAGGGCAGACACAGGAGGGGGAGCCATCTGTTCTGGGGGCCCTTGTCATGGCCTGCTGGCTCTGACAGCCCACTGCATGTCCCCATCATGGGCCAGGTGGCTTCTGCCCAGTTTCCACTGTGTGCTGACTCCTGGGGCAGGGCAGTGAGGGGACCCCAGCTGGGTCCCAGGCAGACTGGTGCTCCCACCTCTAGGTTGCAGACAAGGGGATGCTGCTGAGCTCCCTTAAGAACCCACGACGTTCCAGCCCCACCCAGAGAGGGGGCCTGGGGTGAGGGGTGCAGGCCCAGGAGGGGTGTGGGGATATCAGGCCCTTCGGGGGCCCTGTTGGTTGGGTGCCCAGGTCCCCCTCACCTCGTAGCCCAGGTTCCAGGCGTTGTCCAGGGCCCCACCCAGCGTCCGGATGCGGTACTCCAGGAGGGCCCTGGCAGCCTCTGGGTGGAACAGCAGGATATTCGGGAACATCCACAGATCCTGAGACACAGCCGAAGGGTCCCTGTTCTGGGGTCTTTCATGTCCTCCTCTCTCCCTGCCTGCCCACCTTCTGCCCTGCGGGCATCAGAGCCAGCACCACTTCAGGCTGCCTCCTCCCAGCTTCCTGCTCTGCTGCCCACCCAGGTCTGTCTCAGGCTCCCCCACCTGCCCAGCCAGATGCCTCATCCTCAGTCCAGAGCTTCACCTCCCCAGCAGGCTCAGGACCCCTAGGGGCTCAGGCCAGAATCTGGGCAGAGGCAGCCTGGTGGGAGCCTGCTCCGCTGCTCTCTAGCTGCCTGACTTGGAGTGAAGGACGCAGCCCCTCTGGCCTCACCTGTGCAGTGGGCCACAGGACGGGTTTTGAGAGTCATCTGGTGACTCGGGAGCAGCACCCTGGACCCCGCCACGCCCAGCGGTCACTGCGTCCCAGTTTTTCCTGCCCCCACTTCTATCCGAGGCCTCACCCTCCTCCACCCATAGGCCATTCAGCAACCTCAGGGGTCTTTCCAGAACACACGTCTGTCCATGTCACTCCCCAGTTAAAGTCTCTGTGGCTCCCTCAGCACCCCCTAAACTGCACTTGCCCTGGCCAGGTGCCATGTGCTCTCTCAGCTCTGGGCCTTTGTACCTTCTGGAACCCACACCTGAATCACTATTTGCCACCAAACTTGTACATATCCATCAGCTGAGACGCCTTCCCTTCTGCCATGGCCCCAGTGCTTCTTCAACCACAGCCCCCATTGCAGGGAGGGCAGAGGCAGCAGCTGTGCCTGTGCCCTTAGTTACAGGGGCCTCCACACCTACGTGCCGCCCAGCCTGTGCCACTGTTGGGGGTGGACGGTTGCACACCTGGTCCCAGAAGATGTGGCCCCAGTAGCATTCCTCACGGCTCCCGTTGGAGAGGCCCCCAGGGCTGAGACCGTGGCAGATGTATCCTGGGGCCCCGGGCTGGGGCAGGGTGCTGAGCAGGTAGTAGAGGGCCCCACGCAGGGCCTGGCGCAGGGGCAGGGGCCCGACCACATCTAGGCCACAGCCTGCCCAGAGCTGGGCCCAGGCCTGGGCATGAACGGTGTACAGAGCACCCCTGCCCTGCAGCTGCTGGGCCTCGGTGAGGCAGGCCTGGGCCTCAGCCTGGCTGCCGCCCACCACAGTCAGGAACTCCCAGGTCCTGTCCATCTCGCCTTCCCCCAGTGTCAGCGCCGGGGGCACTGGTGTCCACAGCATGTGCACCTCCTGCAGCAGCCCCCCAGGCTGCTCAGGGGTGAGCGTGTGGCCATACATGTACCTGCAAGAGGGCAGCCGTGTCTGAGCAACGAGCTCCCTCCTTGGGTCACCCAGCCTGCTCCGGGACCCTCCTCACCGGGCTCCCTGGAAGTCAAGACCCAGGTGCAGGTCCAGGTCCGGGCTTTCTGGGGACATGGCTGCCCGCAGCACTACCGTGATGGGCCAGCTCCCCGCAGCCACACGGGTGACGGACACGCTGAAGGCCAGGACGTGAGGCAGCGTGCGGTGGGCATAGATGCGCTGGGAGGCCCGGAAGCTGGGGCCCTCCAGGGTGTGCAGGAAGGAGCCTGGCATGGGGGGGGGCAGAGGGGAAGACAGGTCATCCACATCCCGCATCCCCCTCTTAGGGTTGAGGACCGTTACAAAGCTGCTGGCCTTTCTGGGCTGAGAGAGGAGCTGCCTCTCCCCTCAGTGCCCCCAGTGCCCTGTCTCAGGTACGGCTACACAGGAAGCCCCAGGCTCCTGCCCCTCCAGGGCCCGCCTGGCTGGAGGCCTTGCAAGGCCACCTCTCGGGGCCTCCTTTCTTTTGCCAGTCGGGCATCCTGAGTTAGGAGGTGCAGGGATGGGACTGCTGTGGTCCCCCCTCACCTGGAACAGTGGCTTAGGGGCAAGGATAGACGTTGGCTACCTGTGTTAGTGTCCAGGACAAAGGTCGTGGTCAGCTGCTCTCCTGCCCCTGCAGGGGCCTCCAGCCGGACGTTGAGGGGACTGGGGAGAATGGCCCGGTGCGTGTCTACCCCAGCCCCATTGTACACGCCACTCACGTGGAGTACATCATGATACACACGTGTGCCCAGGTATGCATTGGTCACAGTGGCCAAGAGCCGGGGGTCACTGGGCAGAGAATGGGCAGTGAATACGGTGGGGTCCTCGCCAGCATCCTCCATGGAGAGGCTTGCTCAGCACAGTAGCCTAGAAAAGGGAGTGGTCAGGGGCCCCCACAATTGGCTAGGCCTCCCTGTCTCTAAGCCCTCAGAGCCCCCTTGGAACTTGGCTGAAGCCCCCCACAGATGGTGGGAGTGTGGACCCACCTAGGCAGTCCCGATTTTCCAGAGCCCCCACTTTCAAGCCACCTCAGGAAACACCTCCACCCTCAGAGATGCTGGACCCCCTAACACTGATCTCCCGGGACCCAACGGAGGCCCCAACTCCAGCCCTAGGACCTCAATCCTAACCTTTCGGCTCCCCCCCACCACCGCCCACACCCCCACCAACCTCACCCCCACGAACCCCAGCCTGTTGGTGGGAAGTGAGGAGGCCTCAGCCCAGAGGAGGTTCGTCCTCAAGGTCAAGGGCCAGGTTGGGGGTGCGGGTGGGGTGTGCACAAGCGCGCTTGGGGCGGGGGCTGTGGAGGCCAGAGTCCCGCTGGCCGGGGGAGGAGCCGGGCTCCGGGGGCAGGCTGTGGGGCGCGGCCGGCCGGCCGCGTCTCTGGGGCTCACCGCGACCCTGCCGTGTCCCTTGGCTCCAGCCGGGGCGGCGCTGCCCGTCCAGGGCCGGAGGGGGTAAGTAGCCTGTGGTGCCTTGTCGCCGGAATGCCTCGCCGTCCCCACCGCCCCCAACCCCGGCGGCGCAGGGCGGGACCAGCAGGACAGGCGGGGCAACTGGACCGCCACCCCCCGGGCGGGCCAACTGGACCCTCCCACCTCCGGGGCGGGGTAACTGGACTCCCCCACCTCTAGGGCGGGCCAACTGGACTCCCCACCCCCAGGGCGGGGCGGGGGAGCTGGGCCAGAAGCCTCTCAGGCCGGAGGCGGGGTCACCGGCCCGTGGGACAGGCTGCAAGCCCCCACCTCCTCACCCGCGAGGCTGCGTGGGTTCGTCTGCGGACCTGGTGCGTCTGCTGCACCAATCGGACTCGCAAGAACCTGCAGTGAGGAGCTCAGCGCCGATTTTGACCACGAAGAAGTTCAAGGGTGGATCTGAGGGGTCCGGGGCCCCCTCCTGTCTCGGCTCCTCCCTCTCTGTGAGCTCCAGTGCCCCTCTTTAGGAGAGATGGCGCTGGCGGTCCACCTCCTGGAGACGCCTCTTTCCCTTTGTTCCGACCCCAGCCTCTTCTGGCCTCCCCTCCATCTCCCCACCTGCCCGCCTGCCCTCCTGGACGCTCTGGGCTCGGCCCCGGGCCTGTCTGGTCCTTGTCGCTGGCGCCCTAGTCTGAACCAAATGTCTGTGCTCTGACCTCTTAGTCCAGCCAGAAACACTTAAGTTCAACATGTCCCCTGGAACCAGCACTTCCTGCAACCTCCCCAGCACAGGCGACGGCGACTGCACCCTCCAGCTGCTCAGACCGCCCCCCAACCCAACACCCACATGGATCCATGAGTCCTGTTGGCCCCACCTTCCAGGGCACGCCAGCTCTCACTGTCCCGCTGTGACCTCTGAGACCAAGCCGTGCGGCGAAGTGCATGCTCCCTGCTCCTGCTCTGCCCTCTGCAGGCCTTGTTAGCCTGCAGCCACGGCCCCCACTTCCGCGGCTGTTCCCGCCGTGCTCAGAAGCCCGTAGTGGCACCCACCTCACCCCAGCCCAGGCCGGCTGGCATGCAGCCCCGCCCCCTCTCCACTGCAGCCCCCACTTCCTTGCTGCTTCTGCAGCGCTGGAGCATGCTCCCTGTTATGGACCCTCAAAATCCATCCGTTGAAATTTAATCTCCAATGTGATGGTAGTTGGAGGTGGGCCTTTGGGAGGTAATTAGGTAAAGAGCTGTCAAGATGGGAATTAGCGCCCTTATAAGAAGAGACCACAGGGCTTGCTCTCTCCCAGGAGGGCGCAGTGAGAGGACAGCCCTCTGCAGCCAGACCCTGCACCTTGACCTTGGGCTCCCAGCCTCCAGGACCATGCGAATAAAGGTCTGCTGTTGGTAACCCCCGTCTGAGGAGTTTTGTTATAGCAGCCCAGCTAACTGAGACCCCTACACCCCCTCGCCCTGCTGGACCATTGCCTGGGAGGTTTTCCCTAGATGTCCTCGGGGCTTGATCCCTCACTTGCTCCCATTTTCAATGCTTTGTGCTCAAATTTCCCAGACACCGTCAACATAACAGGAAGCCCTGGGCTCCGTTCTCTCCCGCCCCTGGGTCCCCTTCACTCTCCCCCACAGCTCTGCTGGCCCTCTCTGCACATGCTTACTGTCTGTCCTCCTGCCTCAAATGCCAGCTCCAAGAGGGTAGGAATTTTGTCTGTTTGTGGGGTGAATGACTGAATTTGAAATTGGATTCTGGAAGGGAATTTCCCCTGGGAAGTGAAAGGGCTGATTCCCAGGTTCCATCCTACTTGGACTGGGGTCTCAGGAGCTGGCCGGGCCCAGCAGTGAACATGTGAGGATTTGGGGGCTGTCCACCGCGGCTCTGCGCTTCAGAGCTTCCTTCCTGCGTCAGGCTGTTCCCCTGAGCCTCAGATTCCCGTTCTGTGAAGTGGGACGACAGGTGCGTTGGGGACTGAAGGAAAGACTGTGAGCACCTGTTAGGACCCCTGGCCAAGTGCAACAGAAACCAACAGAAGAGAATCCAAAGCAGAATTTATTATCAGTGCATGGGGCGGCTGCCCACATCTGTGCCATCACAGCTCCCAGCCAGAACCGTGAGCTACGGCTCCATCTCCGCCCTCCCCTGGTCTCAGTCTCTGCAGACCTTAGACAGGGAGTGGACAACTCTGGGCTTGGACCACACAGCCTCAGGGATGGCTTCACTCCGACAGCCAAGGCCCAAATTCCTGGGGAGGGACAGTGACCTGCCTACCTGTGGTCAACGGTCAGCCCCTGCTTGATCTCCTGTGGCCACGGGCAGAGTGTAGGGCTGTGGGGGCCCATCCCACAGATGGGGATGGAATCAGTGAGGGGGTCACCAACATATAGCAGGTGCCCAGCTACTCAGTTCTCTTAGCATCATCCTTGTTCGCAGCGGGGGGGGGGGGGGGGGGGGGGGGGGGGGGGGGGCGGCGTCTGCATGGAGGATGGCTGGAGGGTCCCAAGAGAGGAAGGTGGGTGGAACCGCGATGGGGATTAGGGGAGGAGTCCCTGGGTGCAGAGGACAGAGACATGACCTGTCCCCCGGGTGCTGGGGGAAGGGCATGTGCCAGGGCTTGTTTGTCTGGATCTCCTCCCTGCCTGTCCAGGGCCCCCCAGGCTCAAAAGGGTTGCCCAGAGCTGAGAGCAGCTGAGAGCAGACCCCCTTGGAATGGGGAGGGCCACAGGGCTGACTAGAGCACCCCTGCCCTGCTCTGGCCGTCAGGGCCTCAGAGGGCACTGCTGAATCCCTCGGGAGGCTCGAGGTGGCTGTCCAGTGCTGGGTGTGTGATGAGCAGACCTGGCTTTGCTGTCTTCACAGCCCGCAGCTCCTGCAGTGACTGCTCACTCAGCTCCACGGAGGTCAGACTGCAGCCACGTGCACAGGACAGAAGGGGCGTTGGTTGGGGAGGAGGAGGCCAGGGCTGGGGGGACACAGCGACAGGGGAGCGATGGGGGCAGTGATGGGGCACACAGAGACAGAAGGTGGCCAGTCAGGGAGAGTAAGAGGGAGTTGGGCTCACTGGCCCAGACTGTCGCCGTGGGCACTGACAACAGACGGACCTTTGGTCCTGCAGAGCAGTCGAGACCAAGGGCTGGGCTGGGGCTTTGGAGGGTGGGTCTTCAGGGGCTGGGTTTGGGTGCCGTTACTCGAGAGGGCCCTGCTACTCCAGAGGTGCTCCTCTGCAGGGTCCATGGCAAGCCCCCAGGCACCCACCCCACCCGGGGTTGAGAGGCTGTGTGCCCACACCCCTCCCGCCGCTGCCTCCACCTGAGGGTCTGCAGATGGCATCTGGGCTGCTGCAGGACTGCACACAGGTAAGTCACCATGGATTCCGGCAGCTGGCAGCCGCTGAGGTCCAGGGTGGTCAGTGTCAGGCTCTGCCAGAGCAGGCCCACCAGGTACTGGAGCTCTTCCTGGAGGCTGGGTTGCTGCACCCTGGGGGGCGGCGTGACCTCAGCAGCTGCTATGGGGGCCCTGCTGCCTCCCTCAGTCCCTCCCAGGCGGGGCCTCACCTGAGCGTCTGTACCCGGCACTGGGGCCAGGCCAGGCCCTCGCTCAGCACACGCAGGCCTGCCTCGCTGAGCCCATTGTGGAGGAGCCCCAGCTCAGCCAGGGCAGGGGCCTCCCTCAGGGCCTGGGAGAGGTCTCGGCAGACCGCATCAGTGAGCTTGCAGCGGAACAGCCTGTGGTCAAGAAGCACATGGGTCTGTCTGCAGGCCCCTGGCCACCTTGCGGCACCCCAGCTGCGCATGCTGCCCGCGCCCGGGGGCTGAGGTTCCGGAGATGTGTTAGCTCCAGAACGTCCCCTGCCCTTTGTCAGCGCATGTGTCCCTGGGGAGCCATGACCACGTGTGCACCCGCGGGGCCACAACCACTTTCCCTCAGGACACTGTTCCCTACAGCTTTGTGACGCGCCCACGCAGACTCTACTCTCAGCATGTTTGACTGCACACAGTCGTGCATCCTGTTGGGAGGGTCATTGCTTACTTAGGGGGCTGGTCCCTAACACTGGGTGGCTGTGTAGCTTCTCCTTTTCTTGTCATCATAAATAACACTGCAAGGAACATCTTGCATTTAGTTTGGCGGTAGGATTGATGGGCCAAACGTGACTGCCTTTCTGGCTCCCTACGATTATCTCCAGGTGGCTGGAAACGCCTCCCGTATCAAGTTACATTATCACATCACCATTGACATATGAATATGTCCGTCCCCATTTCACCCATCAGTACTAGTTCCTATAATTTTTCTTACTTTCTGCTTAGTCACTGATAATTAGAGAGTCACTATGTACTAAGTATTGTACCTGCGTTGCCTCATTAATTCTCACACCCACCCTCTGAGTCGAATCTACTGGCTCCATTTCACAGGGGAGGAAACAGTGGCTCAGATGGCCTGACTGCACAAGGACACAGAGACAGGCAACCCGGCCTCAGGGCCTGTGCCCCCAACACCTTCCTCCATTGCTTCTAAGCATCTGGAGAGACCCCCAGCAGTTTCCAACAGCACCTAGCAGCCTTCTTCTGGAAGGAAAATACATTCTGGTCTTCTTTATTCGTCCCCTAGAAGGCTTAGCTGCACCTCGATTTCCACCCAAACTGGGGCCAAACCCTCCTTGCTAACTACACCTAAGCTGGTGACGGATCTCCTGCTCCCGGCTCCTCTTCCCTCTGCTCTGTGTGGGCAGAGCCTGTCAACCCCAGCACGGGCCTCCAGAGACCACAGACTCTCAGCTGTCCCCCAGCCATCCCCAGACAGGGCCACCCTTCTGCCTCTGCCCAGGGGTCTTGCTCTGCATCCCTTCCCGGGGTGGGGATGGGGGGGGGGTTTGGGGCATGGTCACTCACGTCAGCCTGTGCAGACCACAGTGTGGGTCCATCATGGCCTCGCAGAGTGGATGCAGAGGGGAGGCCTGGGGTTTTGTCTTGGTGGCTTGAGAACTGCTAGGGAAGAGAGAAAAGTGAAGTCCACTCAGCCCCCTTCCAGTCCCTCCCTCCTAAAAAGGACTTCTTCCTGTGGTCCTGAGGTGTCAGAGCTGCCTCTGCCCCCACCCCAAGCTGAGCCAGGACCCCTTCACCCCCTTCACCCCAAACCCAGAGTGAAACCACTTGTCTGTGGCCCCTTGCGCCTCCCTGTTGAAGCAATCTACATGAGTCCAGTAGGGCAGGTCACCTGCGTTCCAGATGTGGGTCTGTCCTTGCAGCTGCAAGGGCGTCCTCAGCCCCACCCCATCAACATCCTGACATTCACTCTCTCAACAGATGCTGAGCACCCAGTCAGGCACCAGGTTGGAGCTAAGTGCACAGAAACACGGCACAAGCCTTGCCCTGGGGGGGCTGAGGGGCTGGTGGAGGAGTCAGGCACAGACAGATGTTATCGCATACTGGGTCCATGGGGGACTTCTGGGGCCAAAGTGTTCCAGGCCAGCTGGGGGAACCTGGGCAGGCTTTGAGGATAGGCAGCAAACAGCCTGGGGGGAGGGGATAGCACAGGGCCAGGGCACAGCTCGCAGGGTGTATTCCAGAATGTATTATGAGAACGCATAATGGGGGGGGGGGGGGTGGTCCTGGGCCACAGTCACGTGCCATGCTAGGAGGTTTGTCTTGGATGTGGATGGCTGGGGGTGGGCATGGGGAGAACACCCTGGGGGAAGAGGTTGGATGCTCTGAGGCTGCCTTGCGAGAGGTGGGCAAACCCAGCCCTGAAGTCCTGCCTCTTGTCTGGGGGAGCAGGCCTCAGGTCTGGACACACTCCCCTGACCAGATGGACACTGGGTGCACTGGTGTGTGCTGGCACACATGCCCCACACAGCAGCCTGAGGAAGAGGGCAGCCCTGCCCTGGAGACTTACGAGCCGCCACCCAGGCTGCCCTGCAGCCGCTTCATCAGGCTCTTCTTCTTCTTCTCCTGTGCAGTAGCCAGTCTGCAGCTAACCAGCCGCAGGGCCTGCCCGGCCGGGCAGCAGCGGACGCAGTAGCTCAGGACGGCCAGGTCCATGCGGCTGAAGCACACTCGCTCCAGCACCAGCTCGGGGAGGCCGCGCAGGGCCTGGCGCACAAAGGCGTCCTCCTGCGTCTCGTACAGGCAGTACAGCAGCTCCAGCGGGTGGTTGAGCTCCTCGCCCTCCTCCTCCTCCGGTTCCTCAGTGCCCTCCAGCGCTTCGGGCTTCTCTGACCCCTCTGGCGCCGCCGTGGGACGACCCTGGCCCAGGTCCTGCACCCACCTCAGGACATCCTGCTTCACGCGCTCTGAAACTACGCAGCCGAAATAGCGCTCGATGTCGCGCATCCGCTCTGCGCTCAGTAGTCCAAAGAGGAAGCGCGTGGTGAGCGCGAGGTGGCAGCGCAGCTCGGCGTCCTCGCGCAGAAGCGCCCCTACGCCGCCAGCCGGCGCCCCGGGAGCCTCCTCGTCCTCTAGCAGGTAGGACAGCGCGGCGAAGAATTCCTGGAAGCTCTGGTCAATGAACTGGTAGGTAACCTCGGCCTCCAGCACGCCTGACAGCTCTTTCTTGTTGAGAAACAGCGTCTGGACTGTGGAGCCGCGAAGCTCCAGTCGTTCCAGGTCCCTCTCGGCGAACTGAGCCCTGCGCCCGAGGACGCCTTCGCGGGCCAGGCGGCACAGCTTGCGCAGCTCGCCCTGCACCCGGGGCCCGGCGGTGGCGGGCGCCGAGCTCAGGACGCTGGTGATGAAAAGCAGGTACACAGACGTGGTGGTCTTGGAGGTACGCGACAGGTCCTGGCCGAGCTCGAGCTGCTGGCGCACAACGGTGCACACGATCCAGCATACGAAGGGCACGAAGCACAGCGCGAACAGCGTCTCATTCTCCTTCACGAAGCGGTAGGCGCGCTCCGCTCTCCACTCGTCCTGGAAGAACTTGTAGAAGTACTTCTTCTTGTCCTTGTCGGAGAAGCCGCGCACCTCGGCGCACTGCGGCGAGCGCAGGCGGCCCTGCAGTCTCCCCGGGGCAGCGGCGCGCGTGGTCACCAGCAGGCGGGCATCGGGCAACAGCGCCTTGCTCAGCAGGCCGCCCAGCACCCGCGCGCTGCCTGCGGCCTCGAAGGGGTCCGTGCAGGGCGCGGCCTCGGCGGGCCCCGGCGCCGGCAGTTCATCCGCGCCGTCCAGGATAAAGAGCAGCCGCTCGGACTGCGCCAGCATCTGCCGCACGGGCGCGCTGCGGTCCGGGCACTGGTCTAGGATCAGGTCGGCCAGGCTGCAGGTGCCCGATCGCTCCAGCAGCTCGCGGCAAGGCATGAAGAAGGCGAAGTCCACCTTGCCGTGGTACAGCTTGCCCGCCGCCCAGTCGTACAGGATTTTCTTGGCCGCCATGGTCTTGCCGATGCCCGCCGGGCCCTGCAGCACCACGGTCAGCGGCCGCTGGCCCTCCTCGTCGCGGCCGAACAGGCGGTTGAAGGTGTGGGTGTCCGAGCGCCGAGCGCGCTCCGGCTCCGGCTCCTCCACGGGCCCCAGCGCCTCGGGCTCCGGGGCGGCGCTCTCGGGCGCGATGAGGAGCTTGGTGAAGCGCTTGCTGATCTTCACGGAGCGGGCGTTCCTCTCCTTTATCTTGGCGTGCTGGAGCAGCACGTGCTCTCGGTATTTCTTCTTGTACTCTAGGGACGGGGGGGTGGGGGGGGAGACGGAGGGACGGGGACGGGGTAGGCTGTGTCAGCCGACCCTCAGGGACCCAGTGCCCTCCCTGCCTGGCTCAGACCTCAGTTTCCCTCGCCCCCCGGTGGCCTTCCCACGCCCGCTTCTCCCTGGGACCAGCTGTCGGGAACCTCGGAGCGGCGTCGAGGACACTCGTGCTCCAAGCCTGGGGCCACCGCCTCCCACCCGGAGGGACCTACCAGACACGGAGAGCAGCGCCGAGGAGCTGGGGCCGAGCCCTGGAAGGGAGACCTTCGGTGAGGCCCCGCCGAATGAGCAGGGGCCGGGGCCGCAGTCGGGGGTCGGGGCCACCCTCAACAGAACCCAAGACCCGAGCCCCGGGGCCGCGAATTTGCGGATGAAGCAGCCCGGGCCGGGGCGCGCCGGGGCTCTTCCGGGGGAGCGGGAAGGGGGGCGGCCTGTGGCCGGGACTCTGTCCAGGCGGGAACTCACGAGGGACAGGGACCCCGGCGACCCCCACCCCACGCTCACGCTGTAGCCGCTGCTCCTTGAGCCTCGCTGCCACGTCGCGCACGTCCGCCCTCTTCAGGGTCTTGCGGGCCACGTCCAGCGCAGGCTCCGGCCCGTAGAACTCGGTCAGCTGCTCGGCGAGGTCCACGGCGTCCGCGCCCTCCAGCCGCCCCCGCGGGATGCTGCGGCCGTCCAGCTGCGCGTCGCGCAGCTTGTGGCGGAAGCGCTTCAGCTGCTCCTGGCTCAGGTCCTCGAGCGCCGCCAGGAGCAGCTCTCGGGCGGCAGCGGCGCGGGCCTCCATGCTGGGGCGGGGGCGGCTGGGTCAATATGTCTTCCCCTCTCGCCATCCTCCCTCCTGTGACCGCAGCCCGCCACTCCGCAGCCCCCCAGGTGCCTCTGGGCCAACGCTCGGCAGCGCTCTGCCGGGAGGGGAGTCCTCCCTCCCAGGACCCTGGTCTGGGGGCTTTGCCTCTGACCAGGTCGCAGCTTGGTGGTGAAGTGGGGTCACCGCAGGGCGGGCACTGGCCTCAGACCCAGGCCTACAGGGCCTTCCTGCTCCTTCCTTCCATACGCCCGGCCAGGCCCGACCCCAGATGAAGTGTCTGCCAGGGCCTGTGCTTTCCCTTTCTGTCTCTCCCCTGGGAGCCTGGAGCAGAGCTGGCCTCAGCTGGAGGCGGACTCCCCACCTGCCCTGGGCTGTGTTCCAGAATGCTCACTGCACCCTTGGTGGGGCCCAGCCTGGGGGCCTTGTCCCAGGGGCTACGTCTGAGCCCTGGTGGGGAAGAGATCCCAGGAGCACCCTCGTGGAGATGGACGCCATAGCTCCTGAGCCTGGGGGCCCTCAGTGGGGATGGATGCCCTAGATCCTGAGCCTGGGGGGCAGAGGGGAAACGATGTAGAGAAAGGTGTGAAGCCCAGGGGTCAGCTGGTGGAGGCTGCAGGGCTGAGACCAGGCAATTCCCAAGTGACCACTCTAAGAGCCACACTCACCTGCAGCAGGAGGCCTCTGGCTTGTTCCTGGAGTCTGGCCCTGAGCTCTAGCACTCAGGGGCAGAGGTGGGAATCAGAAACCCAGTCCTTCCCTAGGCTGACTGGAGCCAAGCCCTGGGGGGCTGTCAAACTCCGTCCATGTGCTGGGCCTGGGGTTTCTAGCTCAGCCAGCACTGCAAAGTCTGTCCAACGGTCACCAAGCTCCCAAGCTCGGGCGCAGTGGCACATGTACAGTCATCCTTTAAGAGCTCTGCTTGGTGACCTTTGATTTCCGACTACCCCTTTATTAATGTTCTCTGAAAACCCGTGGGGTGTGGCAGCTAGGCACGGCTGCGAGCAGGGAACTGTGCAGAGTAAGGCAGGCTGCATGGAGAAGGCAGCTGGCTCAGAGCGAGGCCTTCAGCTTAACATTCTCGAGATAGGCTAAATCCTGAAGGCAGTGGTGAGGAATGGCTTCCTAGGTGCAGGGAGTGCTGAGAGCAAAGGAAGGATTTGCACAGTGTTGCCGTTATAGGGCAAAGAAGGCTGCCCCCAGGGGGCCGGAAGACAGTGAGACTGGAAGAGCTCTGTAGCTCCCCACACCTGGCTCCAGCAGGCTGATGGGAAGAGGTCTGGATGTGAGGAGTGTGTGTGACTGATGTGGGACCACGCATGACCATGAACGTGGGTTCTGCTGACAGTGTCTCCCTGTGCCTGTGTCTGTGTCTGTCTGTGACCATGTCAATACTGTGTTTGCGGTAGGTAAACAATAGTCCCCAAAGGCACTGGTCCCAACCCCTGGGACCTCTGAATGTGCCCTCATGTGCCAAAAGGAACTTTGCCAGTGTGACCAAATCCAGGATCTTGAGATGGGGAGATGATCCTGGATCATCCAGGTGGGCCCTAAATGTCATCACAAGTGTCATCAGATGAAGGCAGAGGGAGATTTGGCAACATGACCCTGAAGCAAGACACTAGGCTGCTGGCTTTGAAGGTGGAGGAAGGGGCCTCGAGCCAAGGAGCACAAGGATGCAGCCCTGGAGGCTGGAGGTGGCAGGAAGGACCCTCTTCTAGAGCCCCCAGAGGGAGTACGGCCGAGCCAGCACCTGGACCTTGGCTCAGTGACACTGATTGTGGGCTTCTGACCCCCAGAACGGTAAGAGAATTGATGTGTGTTGCTTTAAGCCACTGAATTTGTGATAACTTGTTACTGGCAGCCCCAGGACACGAGCCCAGTTTCTCTGAGAGAAGCTGTGTGAAGGTGTGTTTCTGAGAGTGTGTCCACAAGAACAGGTGCTTGGGAGCTGTCACTGCCTTTCTGGCTCCATCGCCGTTAGGCCCTGAGTCACCTCTTCTGCCAGGAGCCTTGAGAGCTGCCTTGGGGAGAGAACCTGGGTCCTAGGAGCCTCTATTCCGCTACCTCTGAGGAGAAAGAGGCCACAGAGGTGCCCATTCCTCCCTATGGTTTTTTTCTATTTGAGACAAATGGACTCCGCCTCTCCCTGTGGAGGGCTCAGGTTGTCCACGAGGCGGTTGTTTGATCACACCGACATTACCCCATGGTAGCCCCTCGCCCGCTCCTGCTCCCTGAACACTGGCTGGGTCCCTGCCCTCCTAACCCGACCGCCCTCCACACGGGCAGCCTCCTGGGCACAGGACAGGAGGTGAGGGGAGAGCCAGCACGCTTCCTTGGGGGAGTGGGAACTTATTGCTTTTTAAAGGACTTGTGTGAACACGAACACATCTCGCTGGTACTCACTGAGCCCTGAGGGGCAGGGCAGCACATCTGCCCTGTGTGACTGGCCAGGCCCAGAACAGGGATGAGACCCTCACTCCAGACCACGGAGTGGGTAGCATCCAGCAAAAGAGAGAAGTGGTCATGGTCTCCTTGGGGTCTGGGTCCTGGGGACAAGCCCTGAGCAGAGTCTGTCCCTAGCTGCCTGAGGGGGCACTGCTGTGAGCTCTGTGTGGAGTCCCTGCTCCCCTGACTCTCTGGCCCTGACTTAGCTCCTCTGACGTGCTGGGATTCTGCAGAGGGAACTTGGCAAGGTGAAACAACAGCCCAGACTCAAATGCAGAGGTTTCAGAGCTCGACTGTGGGCAGAATCTGGCCCTGCACAGCTTGATGGGCATTGCAGGGCCCCGGCCACAGCCCCACTTCAGAACACCCCAGTGCGCCCCTCACTGATCCCCTTGCTAAGCCCGACTCTAACCCCAAGACGCTCCCACGTGTATTTGCTCCTCCAGGCACAGACAGATATCCCACACAGGCTACTGCTGTATTTCTTCTAAATGCACATGCACTTTCCTCTCTTCAGAGTATAAATTCTTGAAAGCAAGTTCTCTACAACTGCACTGTGTCCCTTTCATTGTTGTTTTAGACAGAAAGTGCCCTGGTCAAGAGCCCAGTCTCTTAAGCCAGACTGTCTGCGATCAAATCCTGGCTCCACCATCCAGTAGCTGGGTGACCTTGGATGAGTAACATAACCTTCTGTGCCCCCATTTCCTTGTCTGCAAAATGGCATGGCGACAGCACTTCAGCGTGGAGGGCGAGAGGAGAGAAGCTGTGATGTGTATGCCAGCACATTCTGGGCATCAGTTATCACCATCATGCATGTTCTGTGATGGTCCCTCACTATGAAGCTGTGTTTTCTGGGGTCACCAAGAATGTCCCCATTTCTAAACTTACTTTGGTTCTGATTCAGCTTCACCTCCCCAGCACTTAGCACTGCTGACCATAAGCTTTTCCTTAAAATGCTCTTTTCCTTTGGTCAAAGGAATCAAGGGGTGCAGGTGCAAGACAGCACTGGGGTCAGGGTGCATGGGGTCCAGGAGGGGCTTTGCCTCTGCTCTGCCATAGCCAGCATGGGGAAGGACCTGAGGCCTGTGATTTGGGGATGCCAAGGTCACCCTGTCTCCTAAGATAGACTCTCCTTGAGTGGACTCCATGCCCCATAAACTCTCAGCACCTGCCGATAACAGGAGCCAACATTCCCAGGAATCCTTGCCAGGAAGTGAGCCATGGAATCATGGGGACGAGGAGAGGAGGCTGGGAGCAGAGAGAGGGTATGGCTGGGGATGAAGGCCAGGAGAGGGGGAGGGGAGGGAAGGGAACGAGCAGATGAGAAAAAGAAAGTAAGAGAAGGGAAGGGGTGCAGAGCCCATGTGGCAGGCAACACCTGCTCATCTGGATTTGTGTCGTCTGCAAGGTTTAGCCTCTGAGCAGGGCCACTTCCAAAGGTATAAATTGGAAATATTTAACAAATAATTTAGACTGCATTGTGAATTTCCTCCAAGGTCCCTCCCACAAGAGTTTTACTGCCCAACAAAACTTCCTGAAAATCTTTGATTATTTCTTCCTCACTCCCAAGTTCTGCCCTCATGGCAGCTGCTAGCGTGGTCTCCCTGGAGTCTTCCTGACTGTGCCTTCAATGTCACCCGCTCTTGCTTTGAGGTTCCCCTCCCTTAGTCCTCCTGCCTTTGAAAAACCTAGTTCCTGAGTACTTTGTGAGCTCTGAGCAGAGTCCTTCTTCCCCTGTTCTAGGCATTCCACTTTACATCCTGATCTCAGGGAAAAACCATTCGAAGACTCCACAACCTTTATCTGGAGGAGTGCATAAGGAGAGGACAAAGGTGGACCTACAGCTGACACACTCCCCTGTATGCCAACAGATTAGATAACTTAGACGAGATGGACAAATCCCTAGAAAGACACAACTACTGAAACTGGCTCAAAAGAAATTAAAAATCTGAATTGATATATAACAAATAAGGAGATTGAATTCATAATCAAAACACTTCCTACAAAGACAAGCCCAGGCCTAGATGGCATCACTGGTGATTCTATCAAACATTTAAAGAAGAATTACTAGCAATCTTTCACAATCTCTTGCAAAAAGTATAAATAGAGGGAATGCTTCCCAGCTCCTTCTATGAGGCCATATTACTCTGATACCAAAACCAGGCAAATATATCACAGAAAAACTAAAGACCAACATCCTTGATAAATATAGACACAAAAAATCCTCAATAAACTACCAGCGCACAAAATCCATTAACATATAAAAAGAATTATAAACTGAGCAGGACTAAATGGGATTTATCCCAGCAGTGCAAGATTGGCTTGACATCCAAAAATCAGTGTAACAGGAGGGTCTTTGCTGTTCCTACCCAGCAGGAGCTGACCAGGTGTCCTGGGTGGTTCTCATTCTCTTTGCTCCAAATGAAGGTTTTCACTGTAGTGGCTCTGTTCCTATTCTACACTGGGAGTTTTGGAGGCAGATGTCTCATCTCTTAGTCTTTAGAAGTTTGACGTCAAGGTGTCAGCAGTGATGATTTCTTCTAAGGCTTTTCTGGCCTGTAGATAGTTGTGTTCTTCCAGTGTCTTCACATGGTGTTCCCTCTGGGTAGCCAACATGGATTTTAACAGAGCCTAACCTACCTGGGGGAAGGAGCATATCCAGCCCCAGCCTTTGCTAGTCTTCCTGTCTCACTCTGTGGAAATTAGTAAAGAAAGCTCAGCTAAACTGGATGGGGAAGGCCTGCAGGGGGAGCTCTCACCCCCATCACACATCATCAATTACTCCAAAGGGGAAGAGAGGACCTTGTCTCTCAGATGGGAAGTACAGTGGCTTTACTACTAAAGGAAGATTCTCTCCCCACCCAGCAACAGCCCAGCCAATGAGAGATGCCACAGCCCAGCCAATCAGAAATGCCACAGTTCAGCAAATGAGAAACACTGCAGCTTAGCCAATGAGAAATGCTGCAGCCCAGCCAATGAGAGATGCTGCACCTCAGCCAATCAGAAAGGCCACAGCCCAGCCAATCAGAAATGCCACTGCCCCACCAATGAGAAACACTGCAGCTCAGCCAGTGAGAAATGCCACAGCTCAGCCAATGAGGAGCTGTTGCCATGCTGAACTGTTACTCTCGCTAACGGACTTTCCTTTAGAAGAGCCCCTCCCTCTCCCCCTTCTCTATAACCGCAGCTCCCCTCATTTGTTCTGTAGATTTGGCTATGGTTTGCCACAGCATGTACATCCTGAATTACAATTCTTTTGGCTATTTTCAAATAAACTCGTTTAGAGGTAAACTAGTAGGCAAATTTGCTTTTTAAGTTGACAACTCAAAGAGGAATTTTGAAAGAAGCAAGGGGAACCCGCCCCCTCCCCCCCAGCTTACCAATAGAGGAATAAGGATAAGAATTACTTCAGACTTCTCTTCAGAAACCGTGCAAGTAAGAAGACAGTGGAATGAAATATTTAAACTATCAAAAGAAAAAACCCACCAACCTTGAATTTTGTATCCATTGAAATTATACATTCATGCCCTGCATAACGACATGTCAGTCAGTGACAGACAGCATATATGACAGTGGTCCCATGAGATCAGTGCCACAGAACCTAGGTGTGTAGTACCTGCACCATCTAGGTTTGTGTAAGTGCAGTCCATGCTGTTTGTACAATGACGAAATTGCCTGACATCACATTCTCAGAACATATCCCCATTGTTAAGTGACTCATGACTGTACTTCAGAAGTGAAGGAGAAATAAAGAATTTCTCATACAAATGAAAATTCAGGGAATTTGTCACCAGTAGACAAGCCCTGCCAGAAATGTTAAGAGAAGTTCTTCAGAGAGAAGAAAAATGATATAGGTCAAAGTTCAGATCTACATAAAGAAATAGCTTTAGTAAATGAATAAAAGAAAGTAAAATAAAATATTTTATTTTTCTTATACTTAACTGACCTATCAGTTTGTTCAAAATAATAATAGCCATATGTTGGATGATTACAGCTTGTGGAAATGTGTGATGGCAATGTTATAAGGGATGGGGAGGAAGAGTTGGGAATACTCTGTTATAAGGTACTTGAACTGCCTGTGACGTGGGATAGTATTATTTGAAAGAAGGTTTAGATTCATTGTAAAGGTAGATTGCAAACACTAAGGCAACCACTAAAGCATTTAAAAAGAAGTATTCTTGCTGTGCTAATAGAGGAGACAAATCAGAATCACATAAAACACTCAAAAGCAGAGAAGGCAGAAAAAGAGTGGAAGACCAAAAAAGAAACAAAGACAAAGGCATCCAATAGAAAACTGTTACAAATACTATAAATATTAATCCAACTATATCAATAATCACTTTAAATGTAAATGACTAAAATACACTGATTAAAAGAGAAGGACTATCAGAGGGGATAGAAAACATGACCCAACTCTATGTTGTCCACAAGAAACCCACATTAGATGTAAAGACACAGAGTGGTTAAAAATAATGGGATGGAGAAAGATATGCCATGTTGACACTAGTCAAAAGAAAACTGGATATTTAAGAAGATTGAAACCATATCAAGCATCTTTTCCAACCACAGTGCTATGAAACTAGAAATCAACTACAAGAAAAAGGCTAGGAGAGTCAAAAATATGAGGTGACTAAGCAACTTGTTACTGACCAACCATTGGGTTAGTGAAGAAATCAAAGGAGAAATAAAAAAATACCTGGAAACAAATGAAAATGAAAACACAACATACCAACTCTTATTGGAGGGAGCAAAAGTAGTCTTAAGAGGAAAATTCATAACAATACAGGCCCACCTCAACAAATAAGAAAAATCTCAAATAACTAATCTTAAACTACACCTAATAGAATTAGAAAAAGAAAAATAAAGTTAAAAGCCAGCAGAAGGAGGGAAATAATAAAAATTAGAGCAGAAATAAATGCAATAGAGACTAAAAAAAACAATAGAAATGATCAATAAAACTAAGAGCTGGTTCTTTGAGAAGATAAACAAAACTGACAAACCCTTAGCCAGACTCACTAAGAAAAAAAGACAGAAGGCTCAAATAAATAAAATTAGAAATGAAGAAGGAGAAATTACAATGGATACCACAGAAAGACAAAGGGTTATAAGAAAATACTATGAAAAATTATACATCAACAAATTGGATAACCTAGAAGAAATGGATAAATTCTTAGACTCAAACAACCTCCCACAACTGAATCAAGAAGAAATATAAATTTGAATAGACCAATCATAAGTAAAGAGATTGAAACAGTAATCAAAAACCTCCCAGAAAACAAAAGCTCAGGACCAGATGGTTTCTCCGGAGAATTCTATCAAATGTTCAAAGAAGATTTAATACCTATTCTTCTCAAAGTATTCCAAAACGTTGCAGAAGACCAAAAAATTTCTAAAACTTTCTATGAGGCCAACATCACCCTGATCCCAAAAGCAGACAAGGACGACATAAAGAAGGAAATTACAGGCTGATATTGCTGATGAACATACATTCAAAAATACTCAACAAAATATTGGCAAATTAAATGCAGAAATACATTAAAAGGATCATACACCATTATCAAGTGGGATTTATACCAGGGACACAGGGATGGTTCAACATCCACAAATCAATCAATGTGATACACCACATTAACAAAATGAGGAATAAAAATCACATGATCATCTCAATAGATGCAGAGAAAGCATTTGACAAGATCTAACATGGATTTATGATAAAAAACCTCAATAAAATGGGTATAGAAAGAAAGCATCCCAACAAAATAAAAGGCCATATATGACAAACCCACAGCCAACATCATACTCAACAGGGAAAAGCTGAAAGCTATCTCTCTGAGAACAGGAACAAGACAAGGGAGTCCGCTCTCACCACTCTTATTCAACACAGTACTGGAGGTTTTGGATAGAGCAGTTGGGCAAGAACAAGAAACGAAAGGAATCCAAACTGGCACTGAAGAAGTGAAACTCTTACTGCTTGCAGGTAACATGATTCTATATACAGAAAACCCTAAAGAATCCACCGGAAAGCTATTAGAAATAATCAACAACTACAGCAAAGTTGCAGGTACAAAATCAACTTTAAAAAATCAGTTGCATTTCTATACACTAATAATGAACTAACAGAAAGAGAAGTTGGGAATACAACCTCATTTACAATCACAACCAATATCTAGGAATAAACTTAACCAAGGAGGTGAAAGATCTATGCAATGAAACTATAAGACATTATTGAAAGAAATCGATGATGACATAAAGAAATGGAAAGATATTCCACGCTCACAGATTGGAAGAACAAACATAGTTAAAATGTTCATATTACCTAAATCAATCTACAGATTCAATGCAATCCCAATCAGAATCCCAATGACATTCTTCATGGAAATAGAACAAAGAATCCTAAAATTCATGTGGAACAACAAAAGATCCCAAATAGCCAAAGCAATCCTGAGAAAAAAGAACAAAGCTGGAGGTATCACAATCCTTGACTTAAAAATATACTGCAAAGCTGTAGTAATCAAAACAGCATAGTACTGGCACAAAAACAGGCACACAGATCAATAGAACAGAATTGAAAGCCCAGAAATAAAATCATACATCTACGGACAGCTAATCTTTGACGAAGGCACCAAGAACATACAATGGAGAAAGGAAAATCTCTTCAACAAATGGTGTTGGGAAAACTGGACAGCCACATGTAAAAGAATGAAAGTAGACCATTATCTTACACCAAACACAAAAATTAACTCAAAATGGATTAAAGACTTGAATCTAAGACCTGAAACCGTAAAACTCTAGAAGAAAACATAGGCAGTACATTCTTTGAGATCACTCTCTGGCATCTTTTCAAATACCAGGTATACTCAGGCACAGGAAACAAAAGAAAAAATAAGCAAATGGGACTACATCAGACTAAGAAGTTTTGGAAGGCGAAGGAAACCATGAACAAAATGAAAAGACAACCCATCAACTGGGAGAAAATATTTACAAATCATATATCCAACAAGAGGTTAATCTCCAAAATATACAAAGAAATCATACAACTCAGCAACAAAAAGACAAACGACCTGGTCAAAAAATGGGCAGAGGTTGAGGCTGGCCCTGTGGCATAGTGGTTGAGCTTGGCGTGCTCTACTTCGGTGGCTCAGGTTCACAGGTTTGGATCCTGGGTGTGGACCTACACCACTCATCAGCCATGCTGTGGCAGCAACCTACATATAAAGTAGAGGAAGATTGGCACAGATGTTGGCTTGCTAGCTCAAGTCTAATCTTCCTCAGCAAAAAAAAAAAAAAAAAAAGAAGAAAGAAAAAGGAAAGCAGAGGATATGAACAGACATTTTTCCAAAGAAGATATACAGATGGCCAATAGGCACATGAAAAGATGTTCAACATCAGTAATTATTAGGGAAATGCAAGTCGAAACTACAATGAGATATCACTTCACACCCATTCAAATGGCTATAATTAATAAGATGCAAAATAACAAGTATTGGAGAGGATGTGGAGAAAAAGGAATCCTCACACACTGCTGGTGGGAATGCAAACTGGTGTAGCTACTATGGAAAACAGTATGGAGATTTCTCAAAAAATTACAAATAGAAATACCATATGACTCAGCTATTCCACCACTGGGTATTTATCCAAAGAACTTGAAATCAACAATACTAAATGATCTACGCACCCTTATGTTCATTGCAGCCTTACCCACTATAGCTAAGACACACAAACAACCCAAGCACCCATCGACGGATGATTGGATAAAGAAGATATGGTATATATACATACAATGGAATACTATTCAGCCTTAAAAAAAGACAAAATCGTCCCATTTGCAACAACATGGATGGACCTTGAGAGAATTATGTTAAGCGAAACAAGCCACACAGAGAAAGACAAACCCCATATAATTTCACTCACGTGTGGAAGATAAACAAATACGTGGACAAAGAGAACAGATTGGTGGTTACTGGGGGAAGAGAGTTGGGGGTTGGGCAAAGGGGTAAAAGGGCACATATGCATGGTGAGGGATAAAATCTAGACTATTGGTAGTGAGCACGATGCAGTCTATACAGAAACCCATATGTAATAATGTACACCTGAAATTATACAATGTTACAAACCAGCTTGACTTCGATAAAATAAAATAATAATAATAATAGAGAAAGAAAACTGGCTGGGTGAAGGAGGTCAAAAGTTCAGACTCGCAGTTATGAGACGAGTTGGAGCTGGGGATGTGATGCACAGCACGAGGACTATGGTTGACACTGCTTATGGGATATAGGAAAGCTGCTAGGAGAGTAAATCCTAAGCGTTCTCATCACAACGGAAAAAAAATCTTTAAAAAATTTTTCTTTTCTTTTCTTTTTGTATCTGTATGAGATGATGGATGTTAACTAAACGTGTTGTGGTGATCACTTCACAATATATGTAAGTCAAATCATTACGCTGTACACTTTAAACTTCACAGTGTTGTATGTCAATTATGTCTCAATAAAACTGGAAAAAAAAGAAAACTGGAGTAGCTTTATTAATTTCAGACAAAGCAGATTTTAGAGCAAGGAAAATCATCAGGGATAAAGAGGGACATACATAATGGTGAAAGGATCAGTTCTCCAGGAAGACATA